TGAAGTGCATAGGGAAGTTTCAGTTTTTGTACAAGATGTAACTTGGAGAAATAATTCAATCTTGTAGCCTGTAAAAACAGTCGTCTCTTCACGCTCCTTAGCGCTAGGGTAATGTTATCAGCGTTGGAAGCGAAAAGAGGACATCTGTAGTAAAAAAGATCATGTGAGCTATCATCATCATTACCATCGTCTTCATTTCATCGCTTACGAATCGAGTTATTTAGCGAATATCATTTGTAGTAGCTGCCCAAACAAGAAGAAAGATTTTTCGTCCAGCGGAGTAGAAATGGACTGTGTCGAATATAACTTCAATGAAACTTGCAGTTGTTTAATTTTTCATGGTTTTCACTGAAAATTCCTACCCTGGGTGGCAGAGGCTTTTCATGCGCGGTTTCCGGATTTGGTCAAGTCTATAGTGACCACTCGTACCCAGGGTAAACAATTCCAAGCAAAAGGCATCAACACATCATGCAACAGTTCCACTTAAGCTTGCGAAGGAACGTGTAACCCAAGAACAACTGTATGGGAGGGTATTTCTTCGCACACTCGGAAAAAGTCTGTAGTACAAATGTGTCACATGACACATCAGCCACAAGGAAGCCAAAATTGGAAAAAAAGTGGTACTGCTAATAAACAAATACATTTAATCTAAAACTCGAGTTTATTTGATTTTTCAGATTAAAAAGCAGAAATTAACAGAGAATGTCAACTTCCAAGTCATTGGATTCCTCCTCATTTCTTGAGCTCAGTGAAATTACCTGAAAAAAGAATTAAAAAAATTAAATCAGTTTTGAGAGTGAAGTGAAGTCATTTTTAATGGTTCCAGAACTATAACACTCACGATAGGGTATCTTAAAAAAAAGCTTTTCTGCTGACCAGATGATTATTTTTCAATGGATGTCATTGTCTTACCTCTTCATTCTCAAAAAGGCCACTTCTTTGTTCTTTCATCATTTGCCGATGGACCCGCTTAAGCAAGCTTTTACGTTTTGATGATTTTCTTGAAATTCTTTTCATGCTTAGAGTTCCCCTTGGTTTCCTCTGTCAGTAAAACAAACTCACAGTTGGTAACATAGCAGTACATGAGTGTACATTAGCGCCACTCACCCCTGACAACAGGTTCAGTGGAGAAGGGAAGTGGGAAGCTAGGATAATGGGAAGCTGCAAGAGGTAAGGGAGTGGGTGAAAGGAGTGTCATCAACAACTTACACCCATAGATTTCGCTAAGAGGTGGCTGCCGGCAAAATTTCACTATCTGAAAGAGAGTTTACCAAATCACAATATTCTAAAAAGAAGACATGGGGTAATTTTTAAGGTGCAGTTACACTGCAAGCAAAAAAGCCAGCTTGACTAATAAAAAGGTGTGCTAAACTTTTCCAAAGTTACAATCCTGCCCTCCAGTAATTCAATAATTAAATATTGTTGATAAGATTATTACTACTATTATCAATATTAATACAGTGAAACCTCATGACAAAACCTTGTTATAGCTAACACATTTTGCCAGTCCCTAATTGCCCCTTCGTTATTTTGAGGTTGTTATCTTGCTGTATTCAATTTTCTTGTAAACCCTCCCTGTGAGGCTGGCAATGACATTGCTTTATCACAATCAAAATAAATAAGTTTGTGTACAGTTAACATCATTTATGACTACAGAAGCAGTAGCTATCTCTCTCTTACCTTGGAATGTTTTCTATGAGAAAAACTGGAATTCTGTCCACACGTTTCTGATTGTGAATCTGAAAGAAATGAATAAAAAAACTGTAATCATATAATTTTTAATTAACAGACAAAACCATAGACACCTCAGGGGACACTGTGTTCATGTTCATTTTACAAGTTCTACTATAATTCAGAAAAAAAAAAACAAATTTGAAGCCATAATGTGGTCTGTGCAAATAAGATTACCTAAGCAAAGAAGACAAGAATCTCTGGAAAGATGCTCTGAAATATAGTCACGTATTCTACTGAATTTTGCATCATCAAACGCATCTAAGTCTGAAAAATAAAAAAAAGTATTGACAAGATTAGGGAAAATGTTGATACCTTTAACAAATTTCTGTAATTTGCTAGCATTTCTTCAAGCAGTAGGTTTTTACAACCACACAAAACTTAAACCATACACAAATGAACAGAATACCCCCTTCCTCTTGATAAGCTTCAAGCCTGGCATGGTCTTGTTTAGTCTCATGCACAGCACGCATTGCAGTAAAAACCTGCATATAAGAACCCAAGTTATGCTAAGAAGGTTCTTACAAAAATGGTGCCAACTGGAAAATTAGGCTGCTCAGGTTCTTAAACAGGTTCCTGTTTTTAAAAATAAATAAGGTGTTTGCCATTGTTACGTGTGGCCGATTTTGGCCCGATTTTTGGTATTGCATGCATAATATATTGTAAAAATCCCTTTAACCCAAGCATTGTTAAAGCAATTTATGAAGTTTATACAAAGCCACGCACGTTAAGCAGAACAAAAGCTGTAGACATTAAAACATGGTACTCAGTGTTGCAGCTGGGTCAAACATGGTACTTGTGTATTCAGTGCTTGACGAAATTTCTCAAAAAAAAACCTGTTTCAAAATTGTAGGCTAAAATAGGTTCTAATGTGAAAGAGGTCTAAATGGACAATCTTAGCCTAACAGGTTCTCCTGCGCAGGTTTTTACTGTATTTGGGTCACTGAGGCAGGTTTTGAAGTGTGAATGTGAAGGGCAAGTAGCTAGTGTGAGAAAGGAAACTTAGCCGACCACACTTTGAGTATTACAACTATAAGGTTGTGCTTTAAGAAAAAATGTTGGAATCCAGACAGCTTTAAAAATTAATCCCTGGTGACCAGGATTTAAAGGTACGCTAGGTTTACCGTTACAAAATGTTTCTGGAAATTCTGGTTGGAAACTAGACATTTTTAACAGGAACACTGCATACTTCAAAGGTCATTTCACTGGAAAATTTCCCAGAGCAACAGATTGTCTGAAAAGGTATAGTCCTGTTTTTCTGATTGGAATGATTTAAATAAAGAGAAACCAGTGTTCCATTTCTTCAATCTTTCTTTGATACCAGTATCAGGCTTTCACAGCTATTTTCCATTAAATGGCACTGATTATTTCATGCGAATGAGTCCTGAGTTGTGTTTACCATTTGCACCTGGTTTGGCCAAGGTAAGAGATAGAAAGCTGCCACAAAAGTGTAGCCCTGAGTTGGTTAAAATCAGCTAATTGAAAATTCAACCCCCCAGGGTACTCCTAAAAATTCTTGGTTGGGTGTGCCACCCAATTGTCCAAATGCTAACAATCATTCAGCCAAAAAAGTGTCATTTTCCACGCCCGTTTTCAGACCCGGAAGAAGTAAAAAATACAGAATGCATGTTTACATAGACAGAAATTATGTCACCAATACTTAGATTGGAATGCCAAGGAAAAGATTTCTTAAATTCCTCATCAAATTCGCATATTACTCTTTCCTTCTTCTTAATTTTCTGTATTAGTTAGGAATTGAATTAGTAGTTACCTCAAAAACCATACCCACTTACAGAACAAAATGGGCAAAGTCTATACCAGTTTCCAGATCAAAACATCACAAAAACCATACCCTTTGGCACAGCACATACCTACCGTATTTATTCGATTAACCGCCCTGGGCGCTTATTAAATTTTTGGACCTTGAGAGTGGGTGCTTATTCGAGGTGGGCACTTATTCGAGGCTGGGCACTTATTAAATTTTCACCGTTTTCAGCAAGTATAGTATGTTTATTTTGCAACAAAACAATAAATGGTAATAACGAAACGCGAAGATGTAACAAAGCAAGGTTTCTGTAAACTACCCCTCCTTGAAGAAAACTCCGTCTTTGGGGAAGTCTCTTTATATTGGTACTTATTCAATTTCAATCTCATTGTCACCCAAGTGGGTGGGGATGGGCGCTTATTAACTTTTTCTGCCTTTAGGATGGGCGCTTATTCGAGGTGGGCACTAATTTGAGGTTGGGCATTTATTCAAATAAATACTGTATATGGCTTATATAACGGAGTACCCACCACCACCACCCACCACTCCTGGGATTCAACCCCAGTGGTAGGGACTGCCACATGATACTGTAAGCATCTCATGTTAGGATAAGCAAACAAGTATGACAAACATAATAAATCATTACTTTAAAAAAATTAATAATACAATTGTACCTATTTCAAATTCTGTGTCTGTTGGCAGAACTGTTGCCTCAGGGTTTATAATTCTAATGATGTCCATTTGCTCTCTAAGTCCCATTGTTACTGAAGCAACTCTTGTTAGCAATTCAACTGCCTCAACTTGGTCATCTGACGTCATTTTATTCCTATAAAGAACAGTTTTTAGTTCATCCTCAAAGTAATTTATACTGTAACAACAACATACACAAAATTTTTGACTAACATTAATGCCAGAGGGGCTTCGTTCAGCATCTGACTCATGTATACCATTGGTTTACTAGGAGGCAGTGTGGCCGAGTGCTCAGCATGTCCAACTTGCAATCCAGCAGTTCTGGGTTCGAGTCCCGTTCTGGTCACTTGTTGGATTTGTTCTCAGTCATAATCTTTGCCCACGCTTGTAAATAGTAAGTTAATTAAAACACAGGTAAATGAAGTTTCAACCAAAGATAAAATTGACATACAATAAACACAACATTAACTACATGTACCAAAAGAGAAATAAAATACTATAAAAATTCGGAGGTAAAATAAAATAAAATAATAAACAAAACGAAATAAAGAAAGAAATGATATTGCAGTAGATAAGGCTATTGTGCATGAATATTTAAGTTGACTACCTAATGCCAATTAAACATTTTTTAGGGTGGAGTAATTTCCTTCCTCTTTAACCTCGTGCTGTTAAATAATGTTGGACAAAGCTCATAGCAAGCAAGCTTATGGAAAAAGAAACTTGCTTGGGATTTAACATCCATTCATTTACCTCTAATTACATTGTGAAACTGTATATTATCACACAGCCACTCTCAAGCCAATCAGAGGACACAAAGCTGTTTACTATTTTATTCCAGTTAAAAATTTGATTTTCCCCATCCCCTTATTTATGTAACACAAATTGACCTTAGACACTAAAGCCTGGTCCTCACTAGCTATGCCAGTATAAGTATACATATGCATTGTTTGTATGCTTAGCATAGTCCTCACTAGTGATGTAAGCATAATTATTAGATTATGTGCTAGTGAGAACAGATTTGACCTAAGCATAAGCATGAACATAACAATACCAAAACCTGTGTTTTTTTCTTATACTTTTGCTTACATCATGGCCTGCCTCACATACAACTTATTAACCTTAATAACTCTGCTAGAGTATTTCCTCTGTTTGAGGGTGGGGGGATAAAGAGGGCTGGGGGGTTTTTTTGGCTTCCAGGCAGTTTTTGTGGACCTCTCTAGACAATTTTGCCTACCTGTGTAAGTTGCTATAATAAAAACACCTATATATAGTTTTTAAAACATGATGGTGAAAAAGTGGTAAATACAAAAACAGTGAGTGTTGCCTACATCTGGGCAAAGTCTACTTATTCCGATCCCTTTTGTTTTTAGGAATCTAGTTTTTTTTTCATGTGACACACACTTACCAACTTGCACCAAAGTCCATTGAGTTCTGTAACTTTTGACAGGGACAGGTAAATTCATTTTTTAACTTTGAACTTGAGTTCTTGTTATTCTTGAATTTGTTCCTTCTTAATATTTCATCCACTAATGAACTTGAAGACCTTTTAGTGCAATTATTTCCTTTCTTCTCGGCACTTTTTCTTGAACATTTTCTCCAGCTGAGGTTGCTGCTATCAATAGCACTTAATTCTATGGATAAAAAAAAAAACCATTGAAACAGGTTAAAAAAATAATGCATGATTCACACCAGGCACCATTAATTTGTTTACCATAATTTTCAGTTAATGAATGTGGAAGTAGGAAATTTTATTTTTATTTGAATTCCAAAAGAAAAATCAGGAGCTATGTGGAGGAGGGGCTGGGGGTCTTCCCCATTTCTCCTTGCTCCTCGCTGCCATGGGTGTTGCTCCTGCTGAACATTTTAAGTGGTGAGGAGTGGGGAGAAACAGCTGTTTTCGCAGGCTATGGCATTGCAATCTTCGCCTAATATTAAAATGATCAAAAGCATATGGAGCCAGCTCAAAAGTCAGAGTTTTCCCAGCTTGGGTTGAAGCAGACACAAAAACATCTCTCCCTGACAGATAACACAGATACAGCTGTATATGCTTGGATTGTTTTCCTGAGACAATCAGAATATCCACTGGCGTCGAGAGAATCATATAACACTTTTCTAATCAACCCAATGTTCATTTCGATGTCCTTACTTGTGAGCGACAACTTTATCCCCAAGGGTTCTGAGGAGCTACTTTGATTGGTCTAAGAGCAGCAACCCATTTTTGGGTTGCTAAAACTGGCAACAATCAAGTATGAAAAGTCCTTCATTCCGCACCATATTAAACCGGATGTCTAGACTGTGGCAGGGCAAGCTCAGTCAATAGAGTGCTCAACTGTAGAGTGGGATGTTGCAGGTTCAAATAACAATAGTAGATAGCGACAAAATAGGGACAAAAGTAGTTGACATACTTGTCTACAACTCACCAAATTCTACAACACAACAATTTCATTCATTTTTTATTTCAGTCCGTTTAAACGGCCTAAATCCCCCCACCCCCAAATCAATATTGTATGTAATGAAAGTAAAGGTTGAGGGTCTAAAACACAACATTGATTTTCGGGCCAGGGGGTGGCGGTACACAGGGGGAGGGGATAGATAGAACCACTATACAAAAAAGGGCTACTTTATAGAAGTGCGTTAACACTTTTGTCCCTCAATGAAGATCCATTAAAAAGGACATAAAGACTCCTTGCATCAACCCCTTCCTCTCATCTACTTCCTTACACACTTCAAACCAGGAGCCCCTGCACTTGAAAGACTGCTGTATGGGCCTCAAAAATTGATTGAGTTCCATTCAAGTGTTCTTTCTGCAGCTGCTTAAGTTGCTTACTTAGTTCCAATAATCTTTCATGTGTTCAGGGTTGTCACTAAGATTTCAAGTTGGTGGGTAAATACAACAAGTAGGCGGGGAATCAAAAGGCTAGGGATTTCTTTTGGTTCTATTTTTCTTCTATTTTCCAATAAAAGTAGCCTAGGGCCACTCTATTAGTAGCCGGAGAAAATCCCCAGCCCCCGGCTCTTAATGACAACCTTGTGTGTTAGATTTTTAGACTATCAAAATAATAATTCGAGTTTGATTGGAAAAAAGGAATGAAAAGCTTAGTGTTGATTGGAGGGATGGCTTTCCCTACAAAGCTCTCTAAAATTGTAGATTTTCAAAAGTGCCAGCTTTAAGGCAAAAAAGCTCAAACAGACCAATGTTTGAATGGTCTTTACTGTGACCAGCTTAATTTTTCAATCATTTCAGGTATTTGCTATCAGATCAAGATATAAGAATACTCAACCATATTATTTATACCTCTGCATTTTCTCTCCAATTCAGCAATGTTTAAATATGAACCCTGGAAAACAAGATAAAAAAAAGAACTTTACAAAAAACGTACTGTAGAACTGCTACACTGTAACTTGTCATGATAAAAATGGGTAGAGGGATGTGACATGTTACTTTAATCTTAATAAACTACTACTCAATCAAAGTTGAAAACAAATGTTAGGCAATCATTAATTATTATGAAATAAAGTAAATAATATTATTGTTAATTATGAAGTGAACTATGTAAATCAATGAACTTAGAGTGAGACAAGAAAAGTCATGTTTTCATCCATTTCATGTTTTTTATAAACAAAAGTTTACAAATACAAGGTTGAAATACTGCTTGGCTTACAGGAAAATGTGAAGTTTTGAAGCTTTCATCCTCAATGTCAATAAATCCATCATCAGAATTATATTCTGAAGCATTGACAGACGATGCAGCAGAAGTTGATTCTCTGTACCAGTAGTTTCCATCATCCTTACAGTCTACTTCTTGGCCACTACAGAACAACAACAGCAAAAAGTTCAAAGAAAATTCCAAGAATAAAATTAACAAACGTGCTTAACAAAACTAAATAATATAATCATTGGCTCAGGAATGTTCCACAGGGAGCAGGGACCAGCAACTTTATAGCCTGCGAGCAAGCTCTCCGGGCCACTCTGGTGGCAAGGTGTAAAAATGCAGTAGAGCTTGCAACTACGTCACCGGAATTTGAATTCCACCTCCAGTTCTCCTGTGGCTCCCAGTCAACTGAGCTGTCAGATTTCCGCCAATTAGCACAAAGTGGAAACAACCGCGAAAGTAAACAAACATTGAAAAACACAAGCCAAGGGTAATGACATCATTGCTAATGTCATCTCCACCAATCAGCATTTTGCATTGACTTTGTCGATGCAGATATTCAAATTCTAGAGACGTAGTTGCAAGCTCTCCTTCCTTTCCCCACCCCACCGCCACAGCACCCCAGAGAGCTTGCTCACAGGCTAGCAACTTTATTCAAAACATGGTAGTCTTGCCTCATGGAAAGAAGCAACAGGGGAGAGTGTGTGCATACACAGTATCTGCAGTATGCTCATTGACTCCTGTTAGATACTGGTGGAATGCTACGCCCAAGCCAGAATTACTCACTTGCTGAAGATCATAGCTGTTGCTGAAAATATGAATTTGCCTTGCCTTTTAAATGTTTTTGCCAAACTCATGATAAACCTGTCTTTTTAACATTTCCCTGCATATCAGTTTATTCATCAGTCTTGACTCAATTTAAAAAAAAGGAAAATCATAATGTTCTGTTTTATGGACTAGTTTTTTTGGGGGGGAACTCAAATCGGTGGTTGCCAGCAGCGAACTAAACTATTTTAAGTAATAGAGGCCTTTAAGATTCGAAAACAAGGATGACTATAAAGAAGAGACTTGACTTTTAAAGTTTTGTCATATTTTCTCCAAAAATATACACTAACAAAAGCTTCACTGTACTTTTTTCCACCAGAAAAGTGAGCACAGTTATTGTAATTGAAGGAGGTGTAGCCCTCTCCCGATTACAAAAATGATAAAGCTTCTAATATTCAATAACTAGGACATTCTTGCAGTATAATGATGATGCCTTTTACATTTTCCCACTAAAATGAAGCTAATTCGTGCACATGATGATGAGTATTGTCAAAATCTTTTCCTCATAGTTATCCTTGTCTTAGAATCTAAAAGTCTCTATAAATATGTTGTGATTACTAACCACTCAACTTCGGCAGCTACATCAGCCTCAAAAAAAGATGGAGAAAAGTCATCAAAGAAGGAATCTCTGCTAAATGGAGGGGGTGCCCCCCAGAGTCTGCAAACAGAAAAATAGGATCAGACAGAGTGTACCACAATTTTCCACTGGGTGAGAATAAAATTATTTCAAAATAAATTTTCACCCAACCAGTAGTGAACTAATTGTGTTTCATTCGCAGGCCCGGTACTGGTCTTGTAATTTAATGTTTGAAGGCATATACATGTATGTTTAGAGGGTGCAAGGCATTGAATTATTCCACGAAACAAACTTGAGAGGAAAAAAGGCTTAATCACCTTTGAGTTGCCTCAAAACTTCCTTTAAATGGAAGAATGAAGTTTATATACATTATGCTATGAAAGTATTTGCTCCTGATCTCTGTTTATCATGATCATTGAGAGGTTCTGACAGCGTGAAAAATATTTAAGTGACGTGTGATAAACTGTTTTGTTAGGTTAAGGTAAGTCTTACTGAAAAATTTCTAATGTATAAAAGGAAGCTCTCTCACAGAAATAAAAACACGATGAGACCAAACGAAAACCAATAAAGGTTTTATCGTCGATAAATGACCCAATGTTACCATTCGCTCTCCATATCATTTACATGATAATTCTAGAGATGAAGAATATTAAGCGGAGTACGTCTGGCTGCTAGTTAAAATCAAGGAAGGGAAAATCTATGTAACACGTAAGCTTTATGCTTTACGATGTATCCCATTATAACAGCGTCCATAGCGATTTTTCAACGAAGCTCACCTCATTTCGCCGGTGTCGTCAGGAACTGCTAGCATCCTAGACACACGTCCCGAAACATTGTCTTTCACACGCGATCTTTAAACTCGAAATTTAACAGCAAAATATCGTCAAAAATTCATTTTCTTTCTCCTGAACTTTATAAGAACAATGCATTCCGGTGAAATAGTGCCAAGTTTTCACTCTGCCTTCGTCTCGCACAGCCCACGTGGCTCTAGCCAATCAGAAAGCGCGTTTTTCGCCATGTGGGTATCCCTCTTACGCAATTCGGATTTGCCATATTTGGCATGTTCCGGAAGTTCAAGCATTTCCTGGTCTGCTAACCTGAGATCAGGCGTTATTATTTTTTTTTTGCTTCTTTGCTTCAGGCTACTGGTCTGCCAGCACACTCTCGAGGGGGGCGGGGGGAAAGTTTTCGTCCTTACCCCGGCCCGAGAGGAGGTACCGACGTGAAGTTTGGGGTGATGGTGCGCCGCCAAGGCATACAGCTTTGTCTGGGTGCCCTGTGTCTGTGCTGTCTTGTTGTCCTTGTTCTTAAATTCAAACAGTGAAAATAAAGCAAGACAGTACATATGCAGGTATGAGGTTAATCAAAAATAAATCACAAACAGCGGGCCGGTGATGTGATAGACAAGGTGAACTTTTTTAGTGATCAAAAGTGACCGTTATACAGAGGCAATGCCCCCGTCAAAATTGCACCGACAAGCTGCAGAGGCCACAGGCCATCCAATACCATCCGCTCTGTTTTGAGTTCTTTCGGTTGAAAATATGAGAGACTTTGTATGAAAAATATATTACTGAGATCTGCGCGCGCTAAATAACGCTAAACCTTACTTTTTCTTAAATGAAATGAATAAAAAAGACTTACCTGCAATGTATTCCACTGCGCTTTGATGTCTGTTTGTCGTTTTACTGGGTTTTTTGGCGTTATTGCGTAACCACTGTTACTCCTTTCATAGAACGAAAAACTTCGTTAGTTTGGGCCGCCTGTGCAGAGGCTTATGATGAAGAAACTGAAACTATTTATACAAAAACTGACAAGGGGTCTGGAAATTAGAAAAAAGAATTTTCTTATATAAGGCAGTTCATCAGCTTTTAAAATACTTCTTACACATGATTTTTTTCTCGTATGATACAAATTAGGGCAAGGATCGCATACGGCATAGCTTGCGTGGCAGGCGATTGAAAGGAAAGAGGAAGTTAGGGAATTTCAGTTTACGTTTATCTACAATCTTGGACAAAATAAATGAAAAACCAAGACCCCCTCTCTCCCCCCCCCCCCCCCCCCCCCCCCAAAAGGACCCTTTTTTTAAAAATCTTTTTCCCCCCAACTTTTCGGTTCTTCTTGGGGGTTGTGGTTTTTAAAAATTTCCCTTACGGGAAAAAAATTTTTTCCCGGGGGGTTTCTTTTTTTTGGGCAACTTTTTAATTAAATTGGGCCTAAAAAAAACTACTCCCACCCAAGTGAAAAAATTAACCCCCCCGTTTTCTTTTATCGTTCCTTTTCCTTTTTTTAAAATACTTTTGCACATACTTTTTTTTTCGTAATATAAAAAAAAGGGGAAAGAGACGCATCAGGAGAAGCTGGTGGGCCGGGGGATTAAAAGAAAAAGGAAAGTATGGAAATTTCATTTTCCTTTTTCCACAAATCTGGACAAAAAAAAAAAAAAACACAAACCCCCCCCCCCCCCCCCCCCCCCCCCCGCCAAATTAAGGATGGGAAAATGGCGCGTTTTTGCCCTTCGCGCGGCTTCATCCTTGATTTAGGGGGATGGGGTTTGCTGTTCCATTTTATTTTTTCCAAGATTGTAGCACTCCGCCGCCGCCATCTCCTTCGGACGCCGCGTTTTAGAGTACATGCAAGCCTATAGAAACAAGGCCGATAGAAAAAATTTCGTCGATTTAGTGGCCTATATAGTTAATTAATGGAGGCGTGACCACAAAAGTCCTAGTTTTCCAATCCTTGGAATAAGGTACGTTAGTAATGTAAAAGGACTGAGTGGAGTGCAAGTCAGGGAGTAATGGGGCGAGTTACGAACCCGAAGTCCTATTATCAATTAATTGTGTCAGTAACAAAATGCGAGAATCTCAGTCTTGGAATATTTGTTAACGTAACCTGAGATCAGGCTCTGTTTCCTTTTTGCTTTGTAAATAACATTCCGGCGGGCAAGGCGAAACGAAAAGAATTTTATCGCGACAACGTAAGAGAAAATGTATGAGAACTGCTAAAATTGGGCCTGATCTCAGGTTATTATTAATGTAAATAAAAGTCACTGGACCAGTTAGTTTCATCCATTTTTCTTTTCCAGTTGAAGCTGGACGGCTTACCTCCTTGCTTTTCAAGACATCTTTGCCACTTCGTGGTCACTTTTTTTCATTGACTTTGATTGGTTATCATTTGCTATGTAGTTAAATTTCATTGGCAACTGGCATTCGCTTCTTGATTTTCATTGGTTCTTTAACTGTCCGATTACATGCTCCTCAACCTCGTCCCCAGGGCGCTTTTCCTTGCTTTTCCCCGGCTTTGGAGGTGGGCCCCAACCTCCAATTCAAAGCCAGGGAAAAGCGCCCTGGGACGAGGTTGCAAGCTCCTGGTAATCTAGTCTGAGGAGCGTTGTGTGACGACACTAAAAACGGCTGTGTAGCAGACTACTGGTAATCGGACAGGTCAGATAGCAAAATTAAGCGATAAATATGGGCTGTTAAGAACCAATCAGATTCAATCATTTTATTATTGGCACAATTATAGTTCGAACAGCACGAAAGCTAAAAACGAGAGTATTAATGACCTAAGGCCTCGGATTTCAGGAGCCTTTTTGAATGCAATTTTTGGGGTCCAAATTTTAGCAGCGAAACATAACCTGTTTGTTTGCAAAGTAAATAAACGAGAAACTAATAACAGTACAATAACGATAATCATAATCACTCCTATCCTAGATCAGAACAGGCCCCCGACCGTATGTCCTTTCATGGAATACCGGCTCATGCTTGAGGACTTGTCTATATAGGCCCTTATGGGTCCCGTTCCGTTAGTTAGCTCCAGTCCCCTCTTAGAAGAATACGCACCGAGAAAGTGTTATGTCGTCCAACACTGGTTCTCACAACAATTTTGTGTTTATTTGGATCTGAGCGGATACGGAGTTGCTTTCTTTCCGGTCGAGACGATGGATATCTTATTAGCAGTTCCCTTGAAAAGTTTGCTTTGAAAAATGTAGTCTTCATGAAGTATGTTCATCGTTTAACCGTTCAGCGTCGATTGCCTAGTAATTTTCATGAACGCGGTTTATAGCAGCGGCAGCCGCCCAAGGGTTCGAAGCGTGTAAACTGCAAGAAGTAGGGCAAGAGCGTCTTTTAAAGCTATGATGATACGACGTGGTACGAAAACGAGATCGGACTCGGACTCTCCAGATCTTATGAATCACACGACAGACGCCTCTGACACTACGAGCATTCTAGAAGATGGAGCAACAAGTCCGACTGCGTCGTTCATCTCACACTCGAAAAGTGGGCACAGTAAACACGATGGTGACTCCAGAAGAGAGGCAAAAACAGTCAAGGTTGCCCTCCCAGGGGCGAAGAAACCTCAGTCTGCGGCTAAAAAGAAAAAGTCCACACCAGATTTGGTATTTACAGCAATAAATAAGATTTAGTTGCATTGACGTTTGTAGTTGTCGATTTTAGAATCGCCCCTAAATGTGCATTCTTCAGGGAACGGCATTGAATTTAATTCAGACAAGTCTTAAGTATTGGCTCATCTGTTGACGTCCACTGTTATTTTTCTTTCCGTAGGATATCCACAAAGAAATTATAAAATGTCGAGATGAAGGGTCAACACATTTGGATCTCAGCAAAGCAGCGGTAAGGTCTTGTAGAAGATAAGGAGGATATTTACACGGCTTTAGCTTATACTTAAGCGTGCAACTCTGGCATAAATTTCATGGTATTACCTAACCCTGTTTGTTAGAAAATTGCTGCTATAACCTTTTACTGTGTGGTTGTTAAACGCAGCTTTAAATGGACTAGACGTGTTTTAAGGAAAATGCAACTAAGTGAGCATGCAGGATTTCGAGTAGTTTAGATTTCCGGGATCGAAATTTTCACTTGTCTCGTTGATATTTTTGCCCTTGGGGAATTTCTTTTATTTTCAGCTGCTTTGAGCTCGCTATCCACGTTTTTCGAATTGAATTTTTTTTATAGCTAATTAGATAGCTTGAAATATCTGCAGTAATAGATCTAGGAAAGAGAAACGAAGGATTTACGTGCGTCAATTTCCATTTTTTTGAACGTGATCGTTGATCAGGTCACCTGTCCAAAAATATCGTTTACCCTGACTTACAAGAAATCCAATATGTCATTATCGAATGTGCATGTCTTTGTCTTAAACTTCCTTTCCTTTGATATTTCAATGTATAAATATTTGATTATGTTCCTAGTTAGTTGGAATGTGCCTTTAATATTATGAATTTGGCGAGTAGAGATCCTCCGAATTTCCGATCCTCCTGCTGTCGATCGAGTTTTTGATTTGCGATCTCTTTGTTTTGGAGGGAGTGAACGTTATTTGGTGAATTTAGTTTAATGAAATTTGCAAATTAGCTCGATTTTAAGGCTGAGGCAGTCTACACTTAGTAAAAGAACTCTCATATTTTTAATGAAAAAAGTATTTTACTGTTTTCTTTCTTAATGCTGAATCAGCACATACCTTTATCATAATTATAGATTGAAACTCAAATTTTCAGCAGTAATTTAAAAATTAACCTTGGTGAAGTTTGAACGTGACGAAGTGAGCAATTAAATTAAATCAAAGAACGTGCATTGAACCTTAAAGGGATCAAAACAAAAAAAGATATATTATCGGGAGATCCTATTAGGCCCAGCCAAATGAATGCTACATTATTCAACATGGTTGGGTGACTCTAAACAGTGTTAAGCCTAGAAGCCAGATCAGATCAACATGTTTAATTTCTTAAAGGGGCTACACCTGTCACACTGTCTGCTACCTTTCTAAAAAGCTAAAACATGTCTTCGCATCAATTATTAAATTCCAAAAATAATGATCCAGTTTTGTTATTCAAGACTATAGGCATTTAAATAATACTGTTTCCTGTTGTCTCTTGCTACGGATGGCAAGGATAGACCTGGATTGAAACTTGAAAAAGTTTAGTGCTATTCCTGCAAAAGTCACCCGGGAAATTATTATGGTTTGTGCTCCTTGATGAAATTTGCTTGATATTGTCTTCGTAAATAACGAACTCTGCAGAAGCATTTTGTCTATGGGTAAAGGCATTAAGTATCGACTTAACCAGAGAATTGACCTCAAACAGTAATATTCTGATGACATGGCTCCTTTAAGATCATTATAGATCTTCATTGTGATGTCGGGAGCATTGATCTTGTGAGAAGCTTCTCACGAACAGGCTCTTGATTTCCATTAAATTTCTGTGATTCTGTAGTTGGAACAGAGGCTTCCCCATGTAGAGTCCTCCCATCCTGTCACCCAAACAGCAACCAAAAGTTTTTCCTCAAACCATTATCCCTATCTGCTTTTATAAGCTATTCCTGATTTGGAACTTAAGTTGTAAGAAGTGTCATAAAAGTCTAGAAGAGTTTAGATTCTCTTATGTTTGGGTATTTAGTGGGAGATAATTGGTTAGGAAGAATAATAGAATGACAGGGTTGAGCAACTTGGGTTACAGTATAATTTGTCAAATTAAAGGATATTTTAAGCATTTAAGAAAGTGCCGCTGACTTCTCCTAATGGATCTTGGTTCTTGAAAATGATGTTAATAAATTCCGCAGAATCATACATGGTAAAATGCCAAATATCATGTTCTTTCCGTAATTTTCTAAGTCTCTCTTTTACATATATTCTAATCCCTCGCTTAAAAATATGCCAAGTTCCATTCCAAAATAATCCCATAAAACCTCCTTGGGACCCTTGGGACATGCAGGGCTGTCTCTAAGATTTCAAGTTGCTGGGTATATGTGATTAGTAAGGAAGCTCTTTTGGTTGTATTTTGCTTTTATTTTCTGTGAAAGTTGGGGTTGGGGGTAGCCAGGGGAAAATCCCTGGCTCATGACAGCTCTGAACTTGAGAATCTGATTACCAAGATTCTGGAACCAACATCTGCGGCCTCTGCATTGGTCTCTTGAGTAAGAAGTCCATTCTTTATCATGTTAAGGGTCAGCTTTGATTTTATTATCAATAGATTAAATTGACTGAACAATCATCAGTTACAATCAGAAAATCTTGTTATCTGAATTCCAATTTTTTTGTTTTTTCACCTGTGTGTAAGTCAAAAAAAATATTATTTATGTGGGTGACTATAAAAATGACGCAGTGCTGTCGCCCTGTGTTTTAGAACCTACATGAAATGTATAGAAAAAGACCATCAATGGATTATAGTTGCATTATGACTCCATTTAAAAGACAACTGACAATTTTCAATACTTTCATTTTCCAATAATAATTTTTATTTATTTTCTGTGGTAATTGAGTAGGTTTTTTGATGGATGATGGATTATAATAATCTATTGTTGATGCAAAAATAGTAGCTTATTTTGGTATTGGGTTATATAAAGCAGAGTAATCCTACCCTTCTTCAGCCAGTAATGTGTATTTTGTGGTTTTGTTTTATCTTTGGTTCAGCCCTTATTTTTGAAAGCCAGCAAAGATGAGTTTCTTTAACTGTTGACTGCTTTTCTGTCATTACACTTGCTGCAAAGTTAGTAGCACTAGAGTTATGACTATTTAATAAACCCAACCGAACATTAAAAAGCTGCCAATCTTGCTTTGTCTCATTACCACAGCATTAAAACCCTTTAATCCAGAAATAAACAGAGTAGATACCTGAGCCTTTATTCCACTTTACTTTGCTTTTGTGCATCCATAATTAGCCTTTATCCCTTAGTCACTTGTTCACACACTCTCTCTCATTGAACCAATCAGAGATTGCTTGTTTTACCCAACTAACTAACTTCCATTACCTCATCCTTTATGGGGTCTAGTCAAACAATCAATGTGATAATTTACTCAAATTTTTCCATTCTCTAGGTGACAGCACTACCCAAAGAACTCAAAGAGGTATTTGTTGTTCTAGTTACACTGTAACTTCTACAAGTATTTTCTAATTAAAAATGTAATGATTGAATAAAATATCCTGCTATAACACATGCTATTATTAGAGAGTTGATACTTAAGTTTTCAATATTATTGAATTCTCTAAATAAATCTTTGTTCATTAGGGCACTGTCACTCAAACTTTGATCAGTTATTGTAAGGCTGTAGAGTCACACACCATTTTAAGAACACCTACTTAAAACAGACACCTCATTATTACGAACAGGTTGCTGCATGTGTCCATGGGGAAAGAAATGCCTTACTTTTTCTCAAAAATCAACCCGATTAATGGGGACACCCAGTTGATATGGACAATCTCAATACCCCCCCCCTCCAGTGACCATATTAACAGGGTTTGTCTGTAATTAAAAATGTTTGCAATTTTGGCCTTTTTTGTTTTTAATCAGATGGTATTAGTGACAATCAGCCTCCCTGGACTTGCTATGGAAGTTGTTTTGTCTTCAGCTTCAACCTAATAAGCCCAAATATCCACATAATAATAAGCGCGATAATAAGCGCGTGACAAGTTGGGAGGAAAACCATGTATTGAAGTCCGAAACATTGAATTTATTTTAAAACAACCGAGTCAATTCCTTGTCTTTACTTTTTTGTCACTCCAGTTCAAATTCAGCGTCCATCTCTGTTTACTAAAATGTTGCTTAATTGCATTCCCTCATTCCCTCCCTATCCATTTACTTATTTCCTTACTTCCGGTTATTTGCTTCAAACTCCCGTTAACTCAAACTTTTTTCAATTTCCCTTGAAGGTTTGAGTTATCGGGAGTCGACTGTATTTTATTTAAAAAACGCAGACGATACTAACTAAGTAGGCAGCGATTTTTGCTGGCAGCTGGCTACTTTTGACAACCCTGTATGAAATGGAAAATGTTCTGCACCAATCCACCATTTGGACAGGGTCTCAGAGGAAATATCTCTTACAAAGACATTCATGTTTAAAATTTATCATTTTTTATGTTTTCAGCTAACCCAGCTAAAGGAACTTTATCTCTATGGTAACAAAATCGCAACTCTTCCTCCAGAAGTTGGGATGCTGAAAAACTTAGAAAAACTGGCATTAAATGAGAATAACTTGATTGACTTACCAGGTAATTGTAGAGTATTGTGCTATTATTGTATAGTTCCACAGAACTATGTAAAAGTATGGTAATCATGGATTTGGTGGTAAAATCCATTAATGCTGCAGTGCCCAAAGATAATTATGTATTTCTGGCTCAGTGGCTTAGAGAGGTTTTTGTATGGGACAATATAAAATGACTCTGACCAGCTTCAATCATTATAAGTGTGAAACAATAAAAGTTGTCCAAGTAAGGTCATTGTTGTCAATGTATGTTGTTTATTTCTTCTGGTACGACTAATGGATTTTTCCTGTTTTTTCATTTTATTAAATAATTTTAATGTTTTTGGCAGATACCCTGGTAAAGTTAAAGAACCTAAAATTACTTGACTTGAGACACAACAAGATGAAGGAGGTATAATATTACAATATTGAATTCATTAAATCAGCTTTGAGAATTTTAAAAACTTGTTCCATGGGTTATTAATTAGCCATTTTTATAGGGTTGTAGGAATGACAAGACTATGAAAATAAATTGGGTTCAAAAAACAAATTTGGATAAGACACTTGAGGCCCAAATCTTAAAAATGTTAGTAACTTTCAAGATTAAAAGCCAATAGTATTTTTTCTAAATCCGAATCTATCAGAGGTGGGTGGGGCTACCAACTTGACTGAAATTTGTCACTCAAGAAAGTTCAGTTTTACAGCAATTTCAGAAGGCATATGCACTCATCATGTGTAGGAGAACATTTTCATGACCGCTGGTTCTTGGTGGAGTTCTCATCTCTCAATCTGTCAACAGAAAGTCAGTGAGAAACGAACATCACTCAATTGTGAAATGTCATTATTGCCACAGGCCTGTACTCTAGCAGAGCCCGTTGGCCTGTGGTGCCTAACTTTTGCTCTTGGGCTACTAGAAAATCTTACTATTTTCATGAAAATCATATGTTGGGTGCCCTGGATTTCACAAGTTCAGAGCACTGGGCTCCCTTAAATTTTTCTGAGAGCACAACCTTGTGTCATCATACTAAGAGAAAAAGGGGGCTTTCAGGTCGACCCCCTGGATCCTCCCGAATGTATGCCCTGGTCCTGATGTGAATTGGGTTGGGGGATGTAGTTAAATTTGTCCAATCAATGCTAAAGGGTTACATGTTGCAAACTCAGAAGAGGTGTCTTTGTAACAAGAGGGTCTCAGTGGGGTGGTAGTTTTGACAGTTGTCATTGAGTTTTTTCCAATTTTGACAGTTGACAGTTAAGTTTTAGAGCTTTTGACAGTTGGCTGTTAGTAAGTAGAAATTTAGTCCAAGACTTAAAGTAAATATTAATTTCTGTATAAATCAGTATTAACTTTTGGGTCTTGGAGGTTGTCTTGGCCTTTCACCTTTAAGGTATCAGCCACCCTTAAAATTGACATTTTTCCATATTTGAGGTTTCAACGTTTTCAAATAGATAAGCTTGAGAGCTTTCTTTTAAAAAAAAAATTAGAAGAAAATATTATTTCTGTCGAAAGATATCGGGGGTAAAAGATTTTTTCTTGTTAATTACTTTAATAATTAATAATCGTTGACAAGATCTTTCATACTCGTGTCATATATCAATTAACTTGCCTGTTAACTAGTAACGTGATACCGAGTGCGTGCTTCGACACAACACGTGCGAATTGTCTTCGCGTTGTCTATAGCATTTAGATTTAGCGTTTGCTTCGGTGAAAATGCCGCCAAAAAAAAAAGAAAAGGTCGTGTCCGTTTTCGTCATCGAAACCGAGAGCAAAAAAGAAATCGAAGTGCGAGTTTGACAAAGAATGGGCCGCAAAATTGGCAGAGAGCGACAAAGGCTCATTTTATCAGCAAGAGAAGTGGCTCGAGGGGTTGGATATTCAGAAAAGTGAAAATGCTGCAGTTGCTGAGAGTGCAAGGCATTCCAAAATCCAGCTTGAAGAGCCAGATGAAGAAAGCCAGTTAAGCTCATCGACCCCATCTGCTGATGGAACGTGGAAAACAATAAGAGGTCGAGCTATCGTATCGAGCAAAAAGCTGCTTGAGAAAATGGACGAGTCTGTATCTTGTCGATTTTGCCAGGGAATAGTCCAAGTCATGGAAAGTGTAGCGACTAAGCATGGACTTGGTTCTACCTGGAGAATCCAGTGCGAGAATGAAAGCTGTCCGTCGCACAAGACAAATTCTGTTTTTAATTCTTCTGAGAAGAGCAGAGCGTTTGAAATAACCGGGCCTCAGTTCTTGGCCTTCGAGCAATCGGTGGTGGACATTCGGCGCCTTCAAAGTTTTTTAGTTTCCTTGGCCTGGCGCCGATCAACAAAAACGCCTGGGCGGATCATACAAAAAAGATCGAAGGAGAGGCAAAACTTTTGCTCGTGAAAGAATTAAACCGTGCTTCTCGTGGTGTAAAAGAGTGGAAGTTTTCAAACGGAGAATTAAACTGTTCACTTGCTTGCCGCGAAAGTTTGTTCCTGTCACATGTTACCTGTCAAAGTCCTATTGTTAGAGAAAATTGATCCATCTCTGATATCAATCAGAATAAACATTCAGGTGTTATAATCTCATTCCAGGTAGGATGCTGCCAAAAATGTATTTTCTATTGTATCTCCGAACGCAAATTTCGCCGATCGACTTGTACGTTTTGAACTCCAAGTCGCCAGCCTTTCAATCAATTTGCCTAAAATTTGGCCAGAGTGATGCCATATATCTCTTCTACAAAACCGTGTCTGCGAATTTTAATACTCCTTTTCATTTTAAAGCTAGAGCTTTTTTTCCACAGGGAGTGTTGACTAATTGCCTTCCCCAACTTCATTTGTTAATAAAAGAAAAACAAACGCGCTTGTCAAAAATCTGAGACACGGTTTTTTAGTGGAACGTGTTGAGAAGCGAATGCGGTGTTAATTGTTTTCTTCCGTTTATTTCCGGCGGGAGTGGAACATGATTTATAGAGACGTGTACTTTTACACAAAGCGTTCCAATTTCGAAACACATTTGAGTAAATCGTTTTTGTTAGTTCAAATCCATAATCTGGAATTATTAAGCTTTTAAAAAATATATGGTTTATAGGGGTTTTTATAAAAACAACTAACGCTACAGCGATTCGCGCGCGGACGGTCCTGAAGGGTGGCTGATACCTTAAGATTTTGAAATATTTTCATATATAAGTAAGTTGTAAAGTCTTGTAATGTCTAGAGAGTGTGTTTTTGACAATATAGGAACTAATTTTTTTCAGTTTAGATATTCTTTAGGAGCCCGAAGTCTGTGAAAATCAGCTGAAATAGTGAAATTTGAGATACCCTAAGAGTTTTTGACAGTTAACATTAATCTGCATTTATGACGGTTGAGGGTAAAATATAACCTTTTTTAATGGTTGACAGTTAACTTTTAGGCTGTTTGACGGCTGACAGTTAACCCCATTGAGACCCTTTAATAACAGTATAATTTCCCCTCTAGGAGTAACAGGATTAAAACCCAACATGCCTTTCCATTCCCAAAATGTTATCGGAATATTCAGGAAATGGGGCTAAGAAAATGTGTCTCGGAAATGTGTTTGACAGTGCATGCTTTAACTAAAGCTGATTGGATGTATTTTCTTTGCAGATTCCTCCAGTGGTATATCGACTTACATCACTAACAACTCTTTACTTAAGATTTAATAGAATCAATGCTGTGGAACCTGAAATTGGGAACTTGCGGGTAAGCCCGAGTAATTTTTATTACCTGTATCTTTGGTTTAATCTGCTAAACTAAAGCAAACTTGAGGAAAAGATTCTAATGGTTATTGTCCAATAATAATTTTTAATAAGTATTGTTATATTCCTGGACTTTCACTCAACTAAACAGGGACTAGTCTTGGTTTAGTCTTGGTTAAGTGGCCTCCACTAAAATCAAATGTATCCCAATCGTGATACATCAGGCAATGTACCCTGCTTGGGATACATTACTGCTCGAGATGAAAGCATGGTGGAAAGTGGCGTGACAGAAGGCAGGAAAGACACTGCTAGTTTTCTTTTTCGTGAATTTCGTGGAAGAATGCAATAACACAAACACGAAGGTTCAAGCTAAAAAGCAATGATTTTTAAAGTTATCCCAGAAGAGAAACAGCTGCTATTGGAAGAAAAAGATGCAGATAATATAAGGAAAGTGCTTTGTAAATCATTCATTCAGTTGTTTTGAGATTAAATTTGTGTTGTTATAAGTATCAACTCAACTTTTTTGGTTCGCTCCGGTTATTTTTTGTGTTGCTGTTGAAGTGAAAGTCTAGAAATGTAACAAAACACTTAATGTCAGGTCCCTCGTGAAACCAGTTGCGGTAGTTTTGTTTTCCCTCGAGTCCTGATATTTCCCTCGACTTTGTCTCAGGAAACAAGGCAAGATGGTAGGATATTATCTTTGTTTATCATGGTTTTATTAAGTTGACTATCTGCCGTGGCTCAAATAGTGAACACATAATATTAATTACATGTAAGGGCTCCAGAAGGTGAAATTATAATGACAACACAAACGCTCAAGTGGCCTTATATCATTTAGTTGTGCAAAGTAATATAATTTATTATTGATAACCTGTTTTGTTTCAATTCCAGCTACTTGAGAGATTAAGCCTTAGAGAAAACAAGATTAAAGATTTACCAGCTGTAATAGGTAGGAATGACCTCTTTGGTGGACATTCTGTAGCAAATGCAAACATAATAAAATTTCACGTTACTTTGTACAATACATACATGCGTATTCAGAGAGAAGACATTGGACTGTTAGGTTGAGATGATTGCCAACTTTTCAAATAATTTATTAGCTTTTCCAGTTATAATGAGTCCTTCCAGCCCACCCCAACCTTCACCCCACCCCTACCCCCCAAAAAAGGTGGAATATTTTCTTCTCTTGCAGCAACGGCTGAGCTGTAAATGATTTATTTTTGGTCTGAGGTGAGAAGACACAAAAGGACACAATACAGTTGCATTCTAGCCTTACACCTGTATTGTAGTGAGTTCAGGCCCACCTTGGATACAAGTAACCAGGGTTTAGCTCATTGAAACGAGTGTCTTAAAATCATGTTTGTCATCTTTAGGTCAGCTAGTTCATCTTGTCACTCTTGATGTTTCACACAACAATATTGCAAGTATACCTAGAGGTATGTCTGGTGTTATATTGAAGGAAAAAAAGTTTTGATAATTTTCCTCAGGTTTAATGATGGACTTAAATCCAAAGTGAAGGCCACAAAATGATGAATTCACAGTGTGAACAGTCTGTCACGTCAATATCATGATTAATATTTAATTTAATGTTATGAGACATGTACAGCCTTACCCAAAAAACAAAGAAAAATAACATTTAGACCAAAGATCACATTGAACCACAATGTCCCATGTCATGCAGGACCTCAATTTTTTTGAAAATTATGTTTTTGCATCATGGATAACCTTGTGCTCTAAGTATTTGTTTTGCAAATGACCTGAAGTTAAATGTATCTGTGTTGATTTGGGGGACATAAAATTAATGTTGACCTTTCCTGTGTGCAGATATTGGAAACTGTGTGCAAATGACATCACTTGATCTTCAACACAACGACATTCCTGAAATACCAGACACGATAGGTAACCTAACAGAAATGACAAGACTGGGACTCAGGTGAATCTTATGATTACGTTTTTTTTTTCTTGTCAAAAACTTTGCTCCACAAGGTGTTGAATATTACCTTACTGGTACTTAATTTTGTGGGTCTTTGATTTCAGTCTTCTTGCAATTGCCAAAAAATCGTGAAGTTAATTAAAGACCCGCAAATAAAAATCCTCACGAAAGTTAATACCCTGCATATATAGAAAATTCAAATCACACAAAAAATGATTAACATGTATAACAACAACATTTACAGGATATATATTGACAAATACCCACATTATTAACAGATTTTACTCCATTTTGTACCTTCTGTTGTAAAGTAATGTTAATTTTCAAAGATTTCACTTATGGAGTGGAGAATCTAGCTATTATCTTCATCTGAATCGCTAGATTCGTGCAAAAAAATAAATGTGCATTTTGCTTGTTCCAGTTTTTCTAGAAATTTTTAAAAGTTCATACATTTTGAAAAATAAAGTGAAGTTGAGAATGCTATAATCACAAAATTCAAAGCCCTTATCTTCTTTATTTAAGTTGCAAAAATAAAATTCCACCAAATACCCCCCCATCAAAAATCTTAGAATAAAGTACCCACAAAATTAAGTAACAATAAGGCACCAGATACTAACTTTTTCTAACTTTTTTAGGTTGGCAATTTGCTTTAATAAATTGTGTTATTTATCGTTGTTTACCTTCATAGATACAATCAGCTATCCTCCATTCCAGCTTCTCTAGCAAATTGCACAAAAATCGATGAGTTTAATATTGAGGGAAACAATGTCTCTGAGCTGCCAGTAAGTACTTTTTTTTTCAGGCTTTTCTTTCACATCTGCAAAAGTTGTGCCTTATTATTAATTTCTCAGCATCAAACCTTTTTTCCCTTGTATTTCACTGTAATATTATTTTGGTCCCATTGTCATATCCAAAATTATTCTCCAAGTTCAGTTATCCTTAATGTTGTAACTTCCAGTGACATAAATGTTAATGCTATTGAGGTTAAAAAGATAATTATTATTGTTTTTTGTTTTCTTGAAGGATAATCTGCTTCACTGTTTGAAAATGTTAAACAATGTCACACTATCAAGGAACAACTTTGAACACTTTCCTACTGGACCACCTAAGCAGTTTGCTTCAGTCCAGGTACAAGATTACATTGTTGTTGTTATTTACTAGGGAGTTTCATTAAGATTTTCTATGGTGACAGCAATAAAACATTCAGTCATTCTTCTTTTTTACAACATCATTATCAGGTGCAGCTGTACATGTAGATGTTGCAAGGACTGCCTAAGTACAAGCCTGCAAATTATAAAACCTGCTCTCCTTGCTCCTCACCACAAGGAACATTTCACAGGAGAGACATCAATGCCTCAACAGTGTACAAAGAAATTTTTGTCCAATAGCCTGGGGCTAGTGGATTTTGCTATCGGGCTAGTGAATTCTGTTCTTAACTTGCCTGATGGGCAAGTGAAGTATTTTGCAGAATTCAACTCACAGAAGAACTATGAAATCAATTCTGCTCCAAAAAAAATGTTGGGGGCTAGATGAAATGATGTTTGGGCTAGTAAATGCTACCTTCAGCCTGCCGGAATGGCAAGCTGTAAAAATGACTTTCTTTGCACCCTGCTCAATGACAGAAATTCCATACTGATGAAGTAAAACAGTGTTTACTTAATTAATATGATGGTCACGGTGTTCCAAACATAAATTTGTTTAAGTTGATGTTTCTCCTGGTCTATTACAGTAAAGTTTTGAGTTCTTCTGCAAACGAGCTGCAGCAAAACTCAAATGCTCCTTCTGACAGGGCTTCTGATATTTCGCGGAAAAAAAGCAAAATTTTGCGGGATTTTCAGGGGTAAATTTGCTGAAAAATCGGCCGATTTCGCGGGATTTTCGTGGGAAAAAAGTCAAAATTCGCGGAACAATCGGCCAATTTCGGGCGATTTTCACGGGAGAAAAGTCAAATTCGCAGAAAAATTGGCCCATTTCGCAGGATTTTAGCAGAAAAAAATCAATTTTCGAAGGATTTTCAGGGGCAAATTCTGAGGAAAATCGGCCGATTTCACGGGAAATTTCGGGGGGGAAACGTCGCCAAGGAACAATTAGTAAAAAACAGCCAATTTCGCTGGGGTTTTTTATGGCAAATTTCGCTAAAATCGATCAATTTGGCGTCGATATGACCAGCGTTGGTGAACGTTTTTTTTAACAGGGATAATCATTTGCTCTTTCAACAACAGTTCCCTCAAGAAATGAGCGCATGTTAAAGCTATAAACATTATGGTTAGTGCCCAGTTTTTTGGAATGTTCATCTAAAAACGCCTGGTAGTTTTGGGACGGTGTTTACTCGTTGCAGTGACAAAGCTTCAAGCTAAATTTGGACGTTTGGGGTGAATAAAACCGGTGTAATAGCCAAGATAAGGATAAAATATGTTTTGCCGAGCTGTATTTGGAAATATTTCTGGCGGATTTCGCGGTATTTCGCATTTTTGGGGGAATCTCGCGGGATTTCGCGGAAATACCTGAATTTCGCGGGTCCACGACCGCGCAAAATCAGAAGCCCTGTTCTGAAGAAGAGTATACTGGTATTCCACAAATAATGACTATCGTAGTAGATTCATCATCACCAACATTAACATTAACCTTAGACCCTTAAGACATTAATTTTGTCGTTTGTTTATCATTCATAAACAATGTTATTACTAAGTTGACCAATCAGAGCTCCTGACCAGATTCTGGACAGATTTTACTTTATCAGTATGGAATTTCTTTTTCTTGGGGCCCAGACGTCGCCCCTCCTGTGAAACATTTTTAGCATCTCTATATGAGTGTACGTTCAACCTTCATTTTAAAATTATATTATCTCAATATTTTGAATGAAGGTATTTAAAACCGTAGTGTGTTTGTTCATTTTTAGACATTTATAATGGAACACAACAAGGTTCAAAAAATTCCTTTTGGAGCGTTTTCCAAAGCTAAAGCTATGGTNGGTGTTTACTCGTTGCAGTGACAAAGCTTCAAGCTAAATTTGGACGTTTGGGGTGAATAAAACCGGTGTAATAGCCAAGATAAGGATAAAATATGTTTTGCCGAGCTGTATTTGGAAATATTTCTGGCGGATTTCGCGGTATTTCGCATTTTTGGGGGAATCTCGCGGGATTTCGCGGAAATACCTGAATTTCGCGGGTCCACGACCGCGCAAAATCAGAAGCCCTGTTCTGAAGAAGAGTATACTGGTATTCCACAAATAATGACTATCGTAGTAGATTCATCATCACCAACATTAACATTAACCTTAGACCCTTAAGACATTAATTTTGTCGTTTGTTTATCATTCATAAACAATGTTATTACTAAGTTGACCAATCAGAGCTCCTGACCAGATTCTGGACAGATTTTACTTTATCAGTATGGAATTTCTTTTTCTTGGGGCCCAGACGTCGCCCCTCCTGTGAAACATTTTTAGCATCTCTATATGAGTGTACGTTCAACCTTCATTTTAAAATTATATTATCTCAATATTTTGAATGAAGGTATTTAAAACCGTAGTGTGTTTGTTCATTTTTAGACATTTATAATGGAACACAACAAGGTTCAAAAAATTCCTTTTGGAGCGTTTTCCAAAGCTAAAGCTATGGTGAGTTAATTGCACAAACAGCAGCTAAAAATCCTCCTTCAAAATAAAAAAAGTCCAATTAATTTAATATATCTATTTTCACTGCATAAATGCGGGCAGTAAGAAAGGATATCAAGTTTCACTTGTTCACTTCCTTAGTTTTGCCCAATTTTGTTTATGGTTTACCCGTATATGGAGCTTCTGAACCTGATCTTGATATTATTCAGAACTTTTTAGATAGATGTCATAAATGCCTCTTTATTTCTTACCCCATTTCAATTAAGGATCTATTAAAGAAGCAAGACTGTAAAAGTTTTAAGAAAGTAACTTTCATAAATAATCACCCACTAGCTCCATATATTCCTACAAAGAAAGTTTGTTCTTATAACCTCCGTAAAAAACAATGTGCCCGTCCTAAAATTGATCTTGAGCGTTTCATGTCTGCCTTTGTAAATATACTAATTTTTAAACACAACCTTAGCACAGGATAGTTAGGATTCTATGATTAGTTTATTTATTTTAATTCAGAAATTATGCTACCAATCTACCATTGTTATTTTGTTTATGCATTTTATGTTGTAATTTTTTATTTGTCTTACACAAAGTTTAAGATACTATATTTTATTGTTTTAGACTAAGCTTAACATGAAGGAAAATCGGATTGCTGCTCTTCCGCTTGGTAAGAACTTAACAGATTCTTGTGCTGTGGAATGTCAGTTGGATGAAAAAAATCCTGTTTACAACTGCTTTTCTTATATTATCTTTTCAGACTTTGGTAGCTGGGTCAGTTTGGTTGAGCTAAACTTAGGAACTAACCAGCTGTCAAGACTTCCTGGTAATGATTTACTCCTATTTTTTGCTTTAAAGTAAACTTAAGGCACACCAGAAGGAACCATTTTAAACCTTAATTGATAAAGTTGCTTTGGACAATGGGGAAATGGCACCTTGGACTAAGCCCAAATTGCCAATGCCCCATTGGTCCCGTTGCCAATTAACTTTTATTGAATCAGGTATATTCAATGAGAGCAATAAGCAACTTTCTTCATGAAACATGTTGCGATCTGTTAATTTGTGAAAGGTAGAGGATGTTTTAGTGCTCATTGCTGCAACAGCTGCAACAGATTTATGTTTACAAAATTTTGAATACCTACAGGGTATCAAGTTAGGTGTGACTGAAGATTTGTAGTCACTAATTTCTAGGATGGAATTTAAGTTTCATAGTGTTGTCTTAGGTATTATACTATATTCCTATGAATTTTATGACTGCTTAAGCGGTGTTTGTTAATGAACATGTAAAGCAGAAATTAGACACTGACCATTAATGAGATAAAAAAAATAAGAAATCATCACATTCAATTAACTGATGATGTTCTTGATGATATATCTCTTATCTACATGTAGCAGAACTTTTTTGTTGTTGTTGCAGAGGATATCCAGTGGCTTACAAACCTAGAAGTTTTGATTCTTAGTAACAATTTACTTAGAGTAAGTCAAACTTTAAGTTGCTAATATCGTTATTTTTAATGTAGAGCAGAAACCATTGTGCATAAGTAGTAGTCTTATTTTATGCTCACAGGATATACAAATGCTAAGGCCTTCAGTCACAACAAGTTGACAGTTTTATATGACAGTCAACTCTCTCATAGCAACCACTTCTCATAAGCGACCACCTCCCATAAGCGACCACTATGAAAATAACCATTTTGTTTCTCAGTCAAATACTGTTTTAAAACCTTTCTCATAAAAGACCACTGCTTAAACTTTTACACCATAAATTTGACATATCCTTTTGTTTTTTGTTTGTCGTAAATGACTACCTGGTATGATCAGGTATGATTGTAACAGAACTATTGCTCAAATGTCACAAAAGTTCAGTTTTTAAAAGTGCTGACCAAGCATCCTGTAAGATTATAACAGTTGACTTTAAAAAAGGATGGCTGTAAGAAGATCTGTTGGTGAAAAAGTGGATTGTCACACACAGTTTGTTAATTAAAATCTGGAAACTGTAGACTGTGTCATTTGTGGATGTCATGTCATTAGCAGACTGTATACAGTATTTATCAGTTATTTTATTTTCTGATCAATGATAGAGACTTCCACGCGGACTGGGTGAACTGAAGAAACTCAGAGTACTGGATCTTGAGGAAAACAGGCTAGAACTACTACCCAATGAAATTGGTAAGTTTGTCTCCATTTTTTTTTGTTTGTTTGTTTGTTTTTTTGCTGTTATTGTTGTTGTGCATGGTCCTATCAATTAATTTGCAATGAAGTGTGTAATCAATGCATTTCATTTTTTTTCTTTGCTGCTCTTCCGCTTGGTAAGAACTTAACAGATTCTTGTGCTGTGGAATGTCAGTTGGATGAAAAAAATCCTGTTTACAACTGCTTTTCTTATATTATCTTTTCAGACTTTGGTAGCTGGGTCAGTTTGGTAGAGCTAAACTTAGGAACTAACCAGCTGTCAAGACTTCCTGGTAATGATTTATTCCTATTTTTTGCTTTAAAGTAAACTTAAGGCACACCAGAAGGAACCATTTTAAACCTTAATTGATAAAGTTGCTTTGGACAATGGGGAAATGGCACCTTGGACTAAGCCCAAATTGCCAATGCCCCATTCGTCCCATTGCCAATTAACTTTTATTGAATTAGGTATATTCAATGAGAGCAATAAGCAACTTTCTTCATGAAACATGTTGCGATCTGTTAATTTGTGAAAGATGGAGGATGTTTCAGTGCTCATTGCTGCAACAGATTTATGTTTACAAAATTTTGAATATCTACAGGGTATCAAGTTAGGTGTGACTAAAGATTTGTAGTCACTAATTTGGTGACTAATTTCTAGGATGGAATTTAAGTTTCACAGTGTTGTCTTAGGTATTATACTATATTCCTATGCATTTTATGACTGCTTAAGCGGTGTTTGTTAATGAACATGCAGCAGAAATTAGACACTGACCACTAAATGAGATTTAAAAAAATAAGAAATCTTCACAGTCAATTTATTGATGATGTTCTTGATTATATATTTCTTATATCTACATGTAGCAGAATTTTTTTGTTGTTGTTGCAGAGGATATCCAGTGGCTTACAAACTTAGAAGTTTTGATTCTTAGTAACAATTTACTTAGAGTAAGTCATACTTTAAGTTGCTAATATTGTTATTTTTGACATAGAGCAGAAACCAGTGTACATAAGTAGTATTCTTATTTTATCCTCACAGGATATAAAAATGCTAAGGCCTTCAGTCAGAACAAGTTGACAATTTTATATGACAGTCAACTCTCTCATAACAACCACTTCTCATAAGCGACCACCTCACATAAGCGACCACATTGAAAATAACCATTTTGTTTCTCAGTCAAATACTGTTTTAAAACCTCTCTCACAAAAGACCACTGCTTAAACTTTTACACCATAAATTTGACATATCCTTTTGTTTTTTGTTTGTCTTAAATGACTACCTGCTAGCTGGTATGATCAGGTATGATTGTAACAGAACTATTGCTCAAATGTCACAAAAGTCCAGTTTTTAAAAGCGCTGACCAAGCATCCTGTAACATTATAACAGTTGACTTAAAAAAAGGATGGCTATAATAAGATCTGTTGGTGAGAAAGTGGATTGTCGCACACAGTTTATTAATTAAAATCTGGAAACTGTAGACTGTGTCATTTGTGGATGTCATGTCATTAGCAGACTGTATACAGTATTTATCAGTTATTTTATTTTCTGATCAATGATAGAGACTTCCACGTGGACTGGGTGAACTGAAGAAACTCAGAGTACTGGACCTTGAGGAAAACAGGCTAGAACTACTACCCAATGAAATTGGTAAGTTGTCTCCATTTTTTTTGTTTGTTTGTTTGTTTTTTTGCTGTTATTGTTGTTGTGCATGGTCCTATCAATTAATTTGCAATGAAGTGTGTAATCAATGCATTTCATTTTTTTTCTTCTCAGCATATCTGAGGAATCTAGAACGATTAGTTTTGCAGTCAAATAACCTCACCACTCTTCCAAAATCAATAGGGTAAGTCCCTGCAAATTCATGAACACTGAATGAAAAAGAGACACTGTTCAAGTGATGATTTTTAGCTCCCATGTTTTTCTGATGCGTTATGCAGTATTTTTATGTAGTTAGTTTTATTTTATTTTATTTGCCACACAATAATTACAAAAAATATAGGAAAAGTAGGAAAAAAGAAGTGGCGAGGAGGTCTAACGGAAATTATAGGAGCTTATGAGAGGTTAGGCCTCCTTGAACTATGAGCTAGAGCTGGAGATATACACTGTAAGGACGTGTGACATCCTAATAGAATATTATTATTGGGGAGCAAGGGTGGCGCAGTGGTGAGAGCACTTGCCTCCCACTAATGTGGCCTGGGTTCAAATCCCGGCGTCGACACCATATGTGGGTTGAGTTTGTTGTTGGTTCTCTCCTTTGCTCCGAGAGGTTTTTCTGCGGGTACTCCGGTTTTCCCCTCTTCTCAAAAACCAACACTTCCAAATTCCAATTTGACCAGGAATCATGTGGACGAAGAACCACTATGTGGATGTGCTACCTGGAAATCGTTATTTATTTATTTATTTTTATTTATTTAAATATATTGTTTCCATGTATTTGCTGTGGCTATGTTGTGAGGAATGTGAAACTTTTTCAGCATTGATTCTATTTGTATTTACTCCTCATATTTCCAAGCTAACTTTGGGTATCAGTTTTTCTCCTTGATATTTTGCTTTTATAGATATTACAATAAATTGCTGATCTCTCTAACCCTTAGTTTTTGAATTTCCTGATAATTTGAACCTAACCAAACTTCCTTCATCGGGCAAACACTTTAATTTTACCCCTGATTTTTCAAACCTTGTGACAATTCAAAACAAATTGCCTTTCCCAGGGTTTGTTTGAAAATGAGGATTCCACTGTTCATGATATTAATTATGCCATACTTGCTTTCTTTTCCAGTTACCTTACAAACGTTCAGTATTTGAGCGTAGGTGAAAATGATCTCACAGAACTTCCAGATGAAATAGGTATGAAAAATACTTAGCATAAAGAGCAAGAGTGTGACTGACTGTGACTTAGAACATGGAGACCCTGTGTGCATTTGAATGATTTTTCTATTGTAGGTGAAAATGATCTCACAGAACTTCCAGATGAAATAGGTATGAAAAATACTTAGCATAAAGAGCAAGAGTGTGACTGACTGTGACTTAGAACATGGAGACCCTGTGTGCATTTGAATGATTTTTCTATTTAAAAAAAAAACAGTATTGGTCTTGTACAGGGCTGTGCTTTGATGGAGTTTGGTGGCGCTTGTCAACTTACCTTTTATTTTATCTTTGGGGTACCAGGAATTAAATTTTTAGTTTTTTAAAAACACTTGAGTACATAAAAAAGCACTGGGTACCCGGGATTTCATAGCTTGAGTTGGTCTTCCAACTAAAGAATAATTATCGTTAGAGCATGGCTTTAATACTGTTATTCAGTGAAAAGTAATAAATAGAGAATTTATTCCAACTTAAAGAGTAGTGGTATCCCATAATGCATTCCTTACTGTACAAAGGGGAATATTGTTGATTAGTATATACACACTCAGTGATCTTGGTAATTCAAGCAGTCTGATTGGTTAGCTATCTCGGACTACCGCGCTAGGCGGTTAATATAAAGCAGAACAAAATCGCTGTCGTAAACTGGGTGTTTTGCCAAAGTTTCATAGTAAAGCCTTTTTGAAAATACACGAATATCCAAGTGCTGATGACTTTGAAGGCAAGAAAAGACTTCATGGTGTTTAAACAGCATGATTTCTTGTGAAGTGGTTTACTGTTGCTGACTTTTTGTATGCTCGAAGCTATGTTTACCACTACAGAGGAAAACGAGGCTGCTTTTGTCACTGTTTTGTGATTTCGGGATTTTCTCGCAAGACCAATTTTGTCTATAAATAGAAGTTAATTTATGGAGAACAGAGAAAGGCAAATATTTTCGAAAATTGTATGTGCCAGCAAGTTAACAAGGCCAAGAGCATTGGATATAAACAATGCTCACCTTGATCGTAGCCGCTGTTGACATCATTTGCAAGCAGCGACAAAGAAAACTTTCTCATTCATGGTGAGTTGACAGAAACAAAATAAAGCTCTGCTTTTCTTCTCAGAATTGGGTAGTAAATTAAATGTTTGGCGTTTTCTTTTAAAAAAGATACAAAAAGATTAAAACTATCATTTGCCATGTTTGAAGATACTGTAAAGATCTAAAATTTTGCACATCCACTGTTTACGGTTTCGTGTTCACGCATGAATTCACCTGTGAATCAAACTAATCGTTTTTTAAGTGTTTCCTTTCTGATTCTGTTGAGATCACTTCGTGTGAATATACTTAAACAATTATTCACATCAGGTTCAGTTGATATTGTTGAATAATCCCCTCCACTTCGTCTCGGGGATTATTCAACAACATTAACTTCACCTTCGGTGAATAATTGTTAATTGTTAAAGGCTGAGAGAAAAACTCGTAACGTGGCAATAAAAGTTCAAGTGAATCTGAAAAACCACGGTCAAACCACGGTCTCAGTGATCAAAAAGGCAAATTCACAAAATACTTGCCTAGTTTTCATTTGAGATACTAGCAGATGTCTTGGTTTCAAACTTTACAGAAAATAAACACATTATGGCTGAAACTCACAGTAAACCACTTTTTGTTGCAGGTAAAATGGAATCTTTAGAGCAGCTGTACCTTAATGATAATGACAGTCTTCAAGTGCTTCCTTATGAGCTGGCCCTCTGCAGTGCACTACAGATTATGAGTATAGAGAATTGTCCTCTTGGCAGTTTTCCTATTGAAGTCGTAAATGGTGGTCCTTCATTAGTCATTCAGGTATTAGTAATTCAAACACTGTCATTAATTTCATGCTGACTGTCATTCTAGTGAATAATTAATTCAGCATTATTATTATGTAAAATTTAGCACAGGGATTTTCCCTGGGGAGAAATATCCAGTCAAGTCTCATCCCGAGACCTCAGACTTCCAGCACCTTTCTGAGGATATGTGCCGATCCGAGGAGTGCCGACTTTTGCATCGTTCTTGTTCGGTTTTTAATTCCTAGTTGCTCCAAGTGGCCTGCCAGCTTCTTTGACACTGAACCCAATGCACCTACAACCACTGGCACCACTTTTGTCCTTGATTTCCAGATCCTTTGAATCTCTCTTGCCAGGTCTTGGTACTTTTCACTCTTTTCAGTTTCTTTCTGCAGAATATTACTATCTCCGGGAACAGCTATGTCCACAATGATTGTTTCCTTTGCCTTCTTTTTCTGAATTACAATGTCTGGCCTCCTGTGATGGATTTCACGGTCTGTTTGGACGGTAAAGTCCCACAACAGTTTAACCTCCTCATTCTCTTCTACGCTTTTGGGGGAATGCTCATACCATTTTTCACTGCACTCAACTCCATATTCCTTGCACACCTCCCAATGAATGACCCGCCCAACAACATCATGCCTCTTTTTATATTCTGTCTGCGCAAGCTTGGGGCAACTACACAAAATATGCTGCACAGTTTCATCGTGGCTACCACACATTCTGCATTTGGATGATACATTTTGGTTTTCGATTCTGGCTTTTACGGCGTTTGTTCTTAGTGCCTGATCTTGCGCGGCAAAAATAAGCCCTTCTGTCTCCTTCTTCAGTTCACCAGTTCTTATCCACTCCCAAGACACACCAGATAGGTCATCTGTCTCTCTCTTGATCTGCCCATGCAGCTGCTTTCCAGACCAGTCCTCAGTTCTTTTCCTTTTCATTTTTTCCTTATATTCCTTTGGCGTTTCAATTTCATTGACATTCTTCCTCTTTCATGCAGCTTTCAACAACCGTTCCTGGCTCTGGCAGATGTAGACATTGATATTTCTTTCTTCAATATTAATGGCATCCTCAACACTAATTAGTCCACGCCCTGCTTCTCCTCTTGGTAGGTACAAGCGACTTACATTGCACCTGGGGTGAAGAGCGCCATGGATGGTCAATAGTTTCCTGGTCTTACGATCCAATTCAGCAAGCTCACTCTTTGTCCAATTTACAATCCCCCACTGTACCGAAGTAGAGATACAGCCCAGCTGTTAATAGCCTTTATGACATTACCAGCATTTAGCTTTGAGGACAAAGTTTTCTTCACTCTCCTAATGTACTCCTTCTTCATACTTCTCTTCACTTCGTCATGCATAATGTCATCAGCCTCCAACACCCCCAGATATTTATAACCTTCAACATCATCTCCAATACCTCAGATAATTCTTCCATCAGGCAATCTTATGCCCTCTGACTTATCCAGCTTGCCTCTTTTCATTACCATCGTTGCGCACTTCTCGATTCCAAAATCCATACCAATGTCACTGCTGAACACCTGGACAGTATGTACAAGTGAGTTAACTTCCTTCTCATTTCTTCCATAATATAATTTCAGGTCGTCCATAAACAATAAATGGGTTATCTTGCCCTCTTCCTTACTGAGTTGGTAGCCTGCTCCTGAATCGTTCAGTACACTGCTGAGAGGTAGCATTGCAATCACAAATAACAAAGAGGATAAGGAATCCCCCTGGAATATTCCTCTCCTGATGAACACTTCACCAAGGTCCTTACCACATGCTGTTAGTTGTGTTTTCCAGGACTCCATGCGTTCCCTCATTAGCTGCTTGATATTATCTACAGCCCCTATAATATTATTATTATTATTATTATTATTATTATTATTTTGATAACTAAATAGTTAATAATTTTCCAGTTTACTTGGGTCCATCCACCTAAAAAGAGGACTAGGAAGGTACAATGCAAGCCTTTCTTGACCTCTATCATACTTTATTTTCTTTTTTAATTTTTAATTTCTTTTTTATATACTAAAGTCATGAGCAGCACTCTGCAACAGCAGCTATAAAAGTAGTAAAACTTGTTTATTCTCCTATGCATCTTGTTTACTTAACATAACTTTCTTCAGAGAGTTTTACACACAAACACTAAACGCCTGTATTTGAGCCATAACCTATGACTTAAAAAATGATGGCCGCAAACATTGAAGGTGTGGCCAGATTTACAAGAGGCAAAGGGCACAGCTGTGAAATTTTTACTCAAGGGTGTGAGAAAATTTGGGGGCCACAGTTTTCAGGCCCCAAAATTTTATCACGCCTTGCATAAAATTTAACAGCTGTGCCTTAAAAGCATTCAAAGTAGACTTTTCTTATTTGACAGTACCTCAGAATCCAGGGCCCATACAGAGGAATGATGAGTCAGGCAGGAATGGTGCCTTCATCGGATGTATGATCAATATAAAATGTGCTTTCCAGAGTATTATAAATAACTGGTTTTATCTGTTTACAGTCCGCACTGTTAGCATCTTAGCTATGGCAGCCATTTAATGTGAAACGGAGTAGATTTTTTAATTTAAGATGAGCCAGTTGAAAAGTATACATGTATTTGAAGCATATAACCCAATTAAGGGCAGGCACAGAGTTCTGCTGTTAATGCAGGATTTCTCACGACTTCTGGTTCTTCACCAATCTTCAGTACCATAGAAATATGCAAGGCATTGTAAGTGTAGTTCTTTAGATTTTGCATACTATTATAGCAAAGCTGCAGTAATCACTTAAGTTTATCTCTTACAGATATGAATATTGTGCATAAGATTATTGTCTTCGCATCTAATTCCCCATGGTAAGGTGATTAATAAATGTGCTTGTACTTAACATGGGCAGAGATATCAATGTGGTTCCAGATATTCCACTTGGCCTAGTTGTTTTTTAAAGTGACCATTCAATAATATCATTGTAAGTTGCAGTTTTTAACAAAAAAGCAAAATAATAGGGTAATATAGAACTTTACAAAGATCAAAACCAGTGAGATAGTGTGTAAATGCAGTCGAATGGCTAATGCACTTAACTGTGTTGATACCCTAAGCTAAAGTCTCCAATCATTATTTTTTTATGAAAAATGTTTTGTTGTCTATACATTGTACATTTTCTCATATTGCTCCTTCATATTGTGGATGAAATTTATAAATTAAATTTTTATGTTATTAATGCAGTGCAGCATTTGAGAAGAACCTTGGCTTTCAGTTTTGAGCGTTTTATTCTAATTTAAGCCACTTGTGACCTCACACAGGGAAACACACACTGGAACTTATCTGTTTAATAGCTTAACTCAGATAAATTACTTGAAGCATTCAAATGTTTTTTTTTTTACCCTTTCAATCCCGGTAGTGGCCAAAGTTTTTCCTAGTCCCTGTACGGCGTTTTCCTAGGCCTTCTCAGTCAAAAAACACGGAATAATGAGGCCTAGGGACTAGGCAAGCTAAAGTTAAAAAATAGGCAAAAACTTCAAATTTCACTTTGCAAGATGCTGAAAAACAAACAGTGTTATGTGAAAAGTACTGCTGTAGAAATTTCATTTGAATGGTCACACCATAGTATTTTGTCCACAGATTTAAAAGTTTGAACCACATTACAGGACTCCATTGTTCACTCTTAGAGTTAAAGGGTTAATGCTTTTAAAAGTGGAAAATCAGTTTAGAAGGTCATTCTAATGGGAAGTGTTAAGTGTTCAACAATGCCGCATCAGCAGATTTCTGTGGCAAATATTATTAATGGTTTTAATAGCCCTATTTAAAGATCTCATTTTGCACGAAGGGAGTTCTTTTTATCAGAGTGTTTGAGGCAAAATTAACATGATTGAATTCGATAACCTTGCTCATTTTTGTCAGTGAGCATTCAGGACCACTTTATGTGAAAGGGTAAGGACAGGCCAGGCCTTCATAAAGAGAATGTCTATGAAGAGAGAGTCAGGAAGGTCTTTAAATAGAACCCTGCATGCTAAACCAGTTGGTGAACATGTGTGTTCACAGTAGTAAGTAGTATGTTATAGAAAATTTCAAATGGATGAGAAATTGATATTTTTCTTTTTATCTTGCTGTTATAAAGGTTTTGTGTGTATCGTCCATGAGGTCACGGTACATGTGAGATGAATGTTGTAACATTATTATGCAACTAGCAATGCATTTTGCTTTGATACACACTTATTCCTCAAAATCAATATATGAAATTACAGAAAAAGGCAGAAATGTTCTTTTCCATCTTGAAGAAATTAATTTCCTTCCTTCCTTCCTTTCATCAGCAAACTTCTGTGGAGGTGGTAGGTTTTATAGCTTAAAATATCCCGGCTCTGTTTTTACTTAGGATGATAACAATTTATATGAAGGTTGTCTGCTTTCTCTCTTTGCATTTTTTGTTATAGTTTGTTGAAAAGTTCTTATGCATGTCCATAACTCATCTGCTGCTTGTTAACATATTTCTGTCACTTCAGAAATCCCCTTTGTTTTTAAATTGATGTGTGCTAAAACTTGTAACAGTAATAATTATTTCTGACTAAATGTAGCTGATTGTAAATAATAGTTTTTACAGCTGCAAAATTTAACCAGCCTTAACCCTTCATCACCAAGAGCCTCTGACTTAAGAATTCCAAAATCTCATTTACTTACCCCAAAAAATAATAGTACCTGCCTGCGAAAACATCTGTTTCTTCTCGCTCTTCGAAGAGCGAGGAGAAATGGATGTTTTCGCAGGCTACATTCAAAAGTTTAGAGTTTTGTTATTTCCAAACCTCATTACTTGTGATGGGGTTGCTACTCAAAGACCCTTTAAGGATTTGCTAAAGACCAAGAAATTTTATTGCTACTTTTATTGGGTCATTGATACTTTTGAAACTTAACAGTACTTCTACTTTATATTAGAGAAATTGTTATGGTTTCGTTCAGTTTTATTTTTCAACTTAACTTTTCGTCCTTTTCACCTTGGCAACTTGGAAGTAAAAGGGTTAAACAAAGCCACCTTAGCTTTTTGTAATACCAAGATATCAAACTAACTTGGATAAAAGCAGTCTTGTAATAATTATTAGTGAAATCCTTGTGGTTTAAAAAGGGGGTTATGTAAATTAGTAATAGATAGTGATCATGAAAGAAAGATTGAGAAAGATTAAGAATGATTAATTCACTGTTGATACTCTTTTTATTTACTAATAAGTACTTATTTTAATTATTATCAGTGGCCTATTTTGTTACAATGATCTGCAAGAACTGTTACAAAGTCAATGTACAAATAAAGTTGAGGACAAACAAGTCTGATTTGTTTTTTCTGTGTGGTAAAGATTAATTCTCCATTGATTCACCAGCCCTCCCCCATCCTCCTCCTCCTCCTCCTCCTCCACCCCAGCTTCCACCCTTTCTCCAGATCATCGTTTTGGAATCTTCCATGTTCGTTTTGGGATCTTGGATTTTGGAATAAGGACCAACCACCGTCAAATAGTGCTCAAAAAACACTTGCTGATTTTATGATTTTTGCTACCACCTTGGAGAACAAGAGTTTATTTAAGGGCCATTTTGTACATTTGGCAAGCTTACTGCTGTATTACAATAATACAAGAATTTATATAGCGCCATTTCCATGAGCTCAATGGCGCTTATTAAAGCATAGTTTAGGCAAAAACATGTAAAATATCTGATTCACATACTGTCCTTTTTCAAACAGTTTTCCTAGTTCTGGACAAAATCAAACTAGCCCATGACAAGCAGTGTGGAATGATTTTTGAAATTTATAGAATCTGACAGATTCTCTGTTCCAAAGAGTGTCCTCATGTGAGAATTAAACCAGAGCATGTATATTTTGTAAAATAAAAGGACAGAGCACAAAAACGCTCTTTTCAGTTTTTATCTGCGTGGAATCCTAATCTGTTGATGATTAAACACCCTTTGCTGAGCCTTTTTCTTGACCATCTGTAACCTTTTCAAAGCTAGTGACTGCATGGCAACATTCTGTGAAGAGGAAGATCCAGTGCTTGTTGATGGCTTGCTTGTTGCTGTTGATGATGAAGATAGGGCTGTATTTGAACTGAGAGCTGGGATGGCAAATGACTGATGTGTGGTTGGGGATGGACTAGGCTGAAATGAAGAAAGTACACATTGAAAATTTTCACACGTTTCCTCTGCGAACTGCATACCATTTCCCAGTGACATTCTCAATCTCTTAGCCTGCAAAGACAGTCTCTAGATTATCTCAAAAGGTTGGCATTGGGTGGTATTGAAGTTAACAACAGTTATGGAGAAATCCAACAGGATCAATAATTTGCTTTTAAACAAAACGCTGAGATGTAAAAAAAATAGACTGCTTGCAGTATGCCTTTTCTTTTCAAACCTCTTGAGTTCTTATTCCAGCCAGGGCATTTGCAAACAATACCATTACAGAAAAGGGATTGCGACGAGACAAGAAAAGATGGCCTGGAAATGTAGTAAACAAACCCTCTGGCAACCCAGAAACAAGTAGCCAATTTTACTACTGTTGACAGATCATTGACATGTCTGTGGGTATATATGTTTGGTGTGAGAAATAGTCACGAACAGACAGGTCCGCCGTAACTAACTGTGAATAATGACAAACCAAGCAGTAGCCACATATAAGCTAAAACATTTAAGGATATCTTCCTTTTGAAGAACAGAAGGAAACTGCTGGCAATCTTAGAGGAATCAAAAAAAGTATAATTTATTAATTGTGTATGTTCTGTATATAAAATGGTTCAAGTTACTTGGGTTTAATTGGTTACTAAAATGACCTTGACAGCTTCGAAATCCAAAGACCAAACAAAAGATTCAGCAGTCACTTATTTTTCTTTTCGGGCATATGCCCTCGTTTATCATGACTCGTCGCTCACCTGCATGGGTTACTTGTTGAATAACTTTGAAAAGAAGACTGCTCACAGTCTAACAAAAGATACCTTTATCTCACTGATGGATGGCCGTTTGAATGAAGTCATTGGGGTGGGTCTGCTGAGAGGTACATGTGGTTTACTTGATACTGCTGATTCCGTAGGCCGGGACTTAGGAGATGCACTACTTGCCTGTGAATACCATGCAAATTGATTACATACAAGCACAATAAGCTGACAGAAAACTGTCTATGAAATGGCCATTATTCCAATAATTTGACAGACCCTAATTTACTACAGGTTCCTAAAACTCCGAAAGTTTCTGTCTAATTTCTGCTAGCCCAGTAAGCGATCTAATCTGAAGTGTAAGCTGTCTCCTTGCTGCTGTCCTTCAAGGGGAAGCCATGGGAGTGGTCTGTGACACTTCAGACTAAGAGTTTTCTAGGTCAGGGTAGTCTTCAACTGAGATGTTAAATGCCAATAGACAATGATGAAATAAATAATTATTTTATTATACATACCATTTCCCTCATCCTTCTCACACACTGACTGCAATACCAAACATGTCTAGGATCGTTTACTTCACTGTCCATCACACATGGCTCATGACATCTCTGACAAATAAGTGTATAAAAGCATTGTTAACAACATTGCTTTGGATCAAAGTAGGGCTCATAATGATGCAATCACGGGGAAGACCCACGGTGTTAATAAAAGTCTTGCTTAGTAAATTGATGCCATCGCCTGATGAAGACCACTAGCACATGTTTGAAATGTTGTGATCAACAACAGAGTAGCCTGTACCAAAGACAAAACGATAAACCTATGGGCCAGGTTGTTCAAAGCTGGGTTAAGATAACCCAGGGTTAGTGCAAAATTTGACTTCAAAATAATATTCAGTTTAATTCTTTTTGTCAACAAGTTGATGATTCGATGCTCTATGAATATCAGAGAAAATTGTCCAAGAAAATGCTTTTGAACAAAAGAAAAAGAAACACGGGTTAAATTAACCATGGGTTAAGCGCCAATCGGCCTTCCAACAACTGTGCCCTGGTTAAGTCCATCTGTCAGCAAGGGCCGAAATCCTTGTTCTGGGCCCCAGCTGTGTGGCAGGATTGGAGTACCTGCCATGATTGGCCCGTTAAAAAAGCATAATTTGATTGATCAATCATTTTGAAGGGAAATTCAAAATACACTTCCAGGAATTTGTTGAGTTCATCAGAGGTCCACGTTTCTCAGACTTTGTGACTCAGGGTTGGATAACATCTGTGATGCCAGCTATTGCGAACAAAGTGAATAAGGTGGGACACGTGATAAATGAGCCTATCACACACATACCACAATGAATAATTATTACACCTTTTATAAGTGTGTAAACTAAATGTTGTTTTACCTGATGATAAAGGGAATGGCACTCATGGCACTCAACCAGTTGATTACCTGGAATTTTACTCTCTTCTCTGAAAGGAGCACAAAAATAAATAAACAATATAAGCTAATAATTCAGTGTAATTTCATAAAAGTACATATGAGCCTCTAGTAAAGAGACCACCAAAATTGCGAAGATTTAGTGGTTACTTACTGTCTCATCTGACAAGACATCCAGACACATCTAATTTGTGGAGGATAACGATATACCTAGCGAAACTAACTTTAACAAAATTTAAATCATTTCTTAAGACTTATTTTTGTTCAACTGAACTTATAATCAGGATTAGTTTTGAACAGGATGTAAGACTTAACAGACATACTTTATAACATTATTAATGCATACATACACCTTTACACCATTCTATAATTTTTTTATTTCTACATTTGTTGCACACATGTGTCTATATACTTTATTTAAGGTCAAGTAATACGGGCAACATTTTCGCACAACTTGTCGCGCAACATCGTTGCGTTGCAAGTTGAAAAGGGCTGTTGCCCGTATTACCATCTTCCCTCTCAACTTGTCACGCAACAAATTTCGATGTTGCAAGTTGCGTCTCTTTGAAAAAATCATGCGTTGTGATTGGTCAACAGTGTGTTTTTTTGTCAGCAGACAAAATGGCTTGTTGACCTTCTGTGATTTCTTTTTTTACTTCCCTTGTCAATACCGTTCTAAGGCTATGTAGCTGTTTTTTAAGACAGTTTGGTGAAATGTTAAATTTTTGACAAACTCATCCAGAGATCTTGACCTCCGTGACTTGTTTTTATACTCTGGTCCACAAGTTTCCCACAGACAAGAGTGCTTTTCAAATTCTTTGCACAAATCTTTTCTTTGGGCCTCTGACATTTTTTCAATAATAAATTCACAATCTTGGGTCTCAGCATTCTCAACCTCCACAACCTCGGCCATGTTTACTTTGCTCAAATCGGATATGCCCAAGGTCAAGCGCGCGCTTACTCACCATCTTTCCCACGTTTTTGGTGCGGGAAAATTGACCAATCACAAGTGTTGTGAAGTGTAGCAAGTTGTGATGCAAATGATAAAATTGAAAGTTTGTTGCAAAAAGTAGAACTCAGGTCTACTTTGCGCAATATGTTGCCACAACTTGCAACATCACAAGTGTTGTGAAGTGTAGCAAGTTGTGATGCAAATGATAAAATTGAAAGTTTGTTGCAAAAAGTAGAACTCAGGTCTACTTTGCGCAATATGTTGCCACAACTTGCAACATCAAAATTTGTTGCGTGACAAGTTGAGAGGGAGGGTGATAATACAGGCAACAACGCTTTTCAACTTGCAACGCAACAATGTTGCGCGACAAGTTGTGCGAAAATGTTGCCCGTATTACTTGACCTTTACACTATTTTATAAGTCAATAATACATTTTTATCACACAATAGATTATATTTACATAGATATTTACATGCTGTAAATTTTTGGATCATTTTCATTATTATTATTATTATTACAGTGCAACTGAGAAAACCTTGAATACTTGAAATATTTCAGGAATGTCTGTTGTGTTACGACCAATCACAGCAAAGATCAAGACATGCAAGCAAGCCACAAAACCACGAACTAATTCATGTTCTTGCTTGCAGTTTAGTTTTCTCATGCCTGATTGGCTTTTTTCTTGCACCACGATAACATTCCAGAAATATTTCTGGTGTTCACGGTTTTCCCAGTTTGACTGTATTTATTGCATGCAATTTTGAAGTTACCTATAAGTATGGTTCTATGTTGTCACTGAAAGATTTTATTTTGTTATAGTTTGAGTGGCATAGTATATACAATGAACAGAGACCACATCATGCATCATGCAACCACTTAGTGGTTGCTTACAAGAGGTTCAAAACAACAGAAAATAATAAAACCATCAGGCCAAACAGTGGTTGTGGTTGCTTGTGGGAGGTGGTTATTTTGGAGAGGCTCTGATTATAGGGATTTGACTGGGAAGAGCTTGCTCTGACACCAATTTCAAATATGTTTAAGTAATGGTCCAGATAAGAAGGAAAGAGCCAAACGCAATGAACATGTCGGAATGCAAAAAAGGTGACAACCTTACTATTGTCTCTATTACACTTCTGATTGGTTAAAACATCAAATTTTACGAAATCTCCGCAAAGCAGCATGTATATTAATCCCTTGTTTTCTAACCAACTTCCTTATAACAAAATCTCATCTGAGTCTAAGTAACACAGAAATCCTATGTGAAGAACATTTCAAATTGTAAACTTTTCTTGGCTATTGCTTGCAAGTCTAATGCTTGGTCGAAATCTTTTAACAAATAGAGTCAAAATATATTTTATTTCGTAGACTTCCTTTTTGAAGGTTCATGCATTCTATATGTGAAAATGAAAACATTCCTACGTGAGGAAAGTGTATTGTGCCATAACAAAAGAAATTGCTTCCCTTCTTACCCAGACCATTACTTTAAAATACCACTGCTCACCTATAGCAAATACTGCAGACAGATCCCAGGTCAATCATCAAGTCATCTACCACGGGCTGCAATGCACTATGGGAGTCCAAGTCACCTTCATTCAAAACATCCTCCACATCAAAATGTAGTTTGGCTTTCTTTGCTGAACTGTGGTCCATGAAGGAGCTTGAGCTAAGTTCAACTGTTTCTATCATGCTAGAACCAATCTCCAGTGTTTCAACATTAGACTCCTCCACTGCAACAGTTCGGTTTTGATCAGCCTGACCAGAGATGATCTGCATGGCATCAGCATCATGCTTTTTCTCTGCTAATTTAACTTTTACTTCAGCTGTTGACACTATGGCACTTGGCCTCCTGTCAGAATTAATCCCCAGTTTCTTTTCCTTTGTTTTTTCCTAGGAGAAAAATACGATTTATTTTCAGACTACAGAACATGTCTCCATTGTTAATCCCCTGTGGTTCTAGAGCTATATCTGTTGTGGTTTTCTTTTGTTTAAAACTCATTATCATATATCACCATAGTAAAAACCCAAAAACAAAAGAAAATAAAATTTAAACCAAGGATAAAATTGAACCACAACATACCCATTTCTTACCTTAATTTTGGGATTGAAAATCTGATCTGTCCCAACTATCAACAAGCAAAAAGCAATGTTACCGTACCTTGGGAGTTTTCGTGACAGGAACTTGTTGGTTGTGCTGTCTAATGACATCATCTCGAAGTGCACGAAGTTGGTCTAAAGAGTCAGGGTGTCGAGAATGCAAAAGCTTCAATGCCTTGATAAACACAGCGTCGACTTCAACTGGACCACTGGCGGTCGCCATCTTGTCTCCTTGTTCCACAGGTTACCCAACATTGCCAGTTGTTACCGCTGGCTCACGCATGAAATCATGGCGGCAACAAGAGCTGTCGGTGAAGTTGCAATTCTAAATTCCGGCGATTCCTCACTGCAAAGTTTGCCTTCTGCTGTTGAACTTTCCAGACAACTTCAGAAACTTATGCTGAACATCAAGGGAAACTTCATCTCCCATGAGGGACACGAAGTCGACTATACTTCTTTAAAAGACAGCGACTTGTTCAGGGAATATTTGGAGAGAACGAAAGCTCTAAAAGTCGTGGACTTGGGGAGCTTAGAAAGAAAGGAGAAAATAGCTTTTTTCCTAAGTATCTTTTATGCTGGATCTCCGTTGTTTCTTGCATGCATGCAACAGCCCGATCTTTTTTTTGAGATGTCACCAGTGTTAGTTGAAGCAGATAGGGTACAAAAAGCCACGGTTTGCGGTCCGGGACGCCCAACCTCTCCCCCCTCCGCCCCCCCCCCCCCCTCAAAAAAGTGATAATTATTTAGAACCCATAGCTAAGCGAAGATAGGATTTTTTCATGCGATAGGCCATTTTTTTTTTTCGGAAGCATTCACAAATGATTTCACCTTTGGAGGTTTACTTCTCTACTAGGTAAAGATAAAAAATTGAAAATTAAGCGGGTAGGGTAGTTACCTGGGGGAGGGAGCAGTTGCAAAATAATGATACTGACCTGGAGGTGGTGGGGATACTCCCTGGAGGGGGGGATACTCCCTTATATAAGCTCCATAGGTATGTGCCACCCCATCAGCTAGGGTTTTTGCACCGTTTTGGTCTGAAAATGGGTATAGTGACACTTTGCCCATTTTGGTCTGGAATCGGGTTTGGTTTCTGAGGGAACTACGGGAGTGTATGAATGTATTTATCATTTCAATTCCAAATGAGTAAGAAAGAAAGAGAAATATGCGAATTCAAAAGACATTTTTGTTTGCGCTCTAATCTACTAGTAATGATAACATAATCGCTATCTAAAGGACAGGTCTGACAACGGGTATGGATTTTAGAGGTCTGGTCTGAAAACGGGTCTGGAAAATTACATTTTTTGGTCTGAAATAGGGTCAGAATTTGGAGAACCAGATGGCACACCACCACCAAGAATTCCTAGGAGTACTCCCCCCCCTCCCACCCACATCCCTGGGACATAACAAAGGGCTATCAAGAAAGGGACTGACAAAATATGTTTGCTATAAGGAGGTTTCATTATATATTAAAGTTCTTTTTCTTAGATTTTATTTTAACTGGGTTGAGAAACATTAGTGAATTTACACAACAGGATGGGAGAGGAAAGAAGAAGGCAAACCTTGTGTGACAATAATTTTGTTCGAAACAACTTTTCCCCAAACTTCACTTTCCTTTAATATACAGATCTTTTTGCAAAAGACCAGAAAACCTTAATGTTAAGTGAAGATCACAACAAAACGTGCAAGTAACAGCCCTGTCACATTTGTCACACACAAAGGTCTTGCCGTCCTGCTCCTGCTATCCTGTTGCATAAACTCGCTATTGTTACACTGAGGACTTTGTTATGTAAAGGTTTGTTAAATCAAGGCTCCACCGTGCCTACCTAATACCACTCCACCACACCTGTTCCTGGATATAAAATTTTGATGCTTTAAGGTCACCTTGTCAATCTTCCAGTGCAATTAACAAACTTTACTCTACTAGTTCTGATTCCTTAATGATGATTAAGATATTTATAATTCCCTCACAATTCATGGCTTGGCAGCCTGTGATACTGGAGTACCTAAATCAGTGCTTGAGATTAACAACTTTTGGAGAAAAACATTGTACAACATTGGTGGATATATATTTTCACTTGATGACATTGAACATGGAATTCTCAGAGGTACCAATTTTTTTCTTTTTTTTTATGCCTGTGACACAGTGACAATGATAATTATGATGATGACAGTGATGATAGTACTAGAGCAGCCTTGGATTTTTTTTTTCCAAAAGTCCAGCCATCTGGAAAATGTTCAATAAGCAAAACAATAAATAGCGTCAGTTACTATTTATAGATGATAGAAGCAAAGAAATTTAACTTGTATTCAGTCACGAAATTACTTGCTTGTAAAATCTTGCTTAATATAAAGCTTACTTGTTTTCATACCTACTCATGAGACTTCACAAAATTTAATGGTAGCTGTCTTTCAGTTTGCCTACATTTTTTGTTTGTAAGGAACTTCTACTTCATATATTATTTACTTCTTTTATGTCTTTTTTATGCCATTTTAAGGCTTCAATCTCAGGCTGTCATAGCTTGGTCTCTAAGTTATTTCCTCACTGAAAGCTTTCTTTTGTGTCATCTTTATTAATTGGGTGATTTAATAACTTGTTAGGTAACAGACCACACCCATCTGATGCCAAACCATTATTTGCTGAAGACGATCCTCGGTTGCAGTTTACTGTTTCAGAAGTTGATCCTAGGATTCACTTTGCTTTAGTGTGTGGAGCAAAGGTACTAATCAGGGTTTTTCCTTTTTACAATTTTTAAGATATTCTTTTCTGTGAACTAAAAACATGAGAAAAATGGGTAGAATTTTTAGGGTCATTCAGGATTCAGAAAGTAAGAAATGCTCTAAACCAATTTGTTCATCTTGAATAAAATATCCATTGTACTGTGCATCTCAAATAAACCTGATTTCTAATTTTATTTGAAAGTAATCCTGTTGCATGCAGTTTTGTTTAACTTTCTACAGTGGAAGCTCTCATAAGCGGACACCCTTAAATGTGAAAAAGGTGTCCATAACTGAAGCTTGCTGCTTACGAGGGATTTAAAAATGCAGAGTTTGTATGGGAGTTGAGAAAAACAGGGTTCTGTGAAGGTGGCCATAAGTTGAGCTGTCCACTTATGCGAGTGCCAGTTAGGAGGGCTTCCACTTTATTAATTTTACCCTTTTTGTCATTCTTACAAACAGTCTTGTCCAGCCATCAATGTGTTTTCTGCAAAGAACTTGGACTTTGCTTTGCAAGCAGCAGCACAGAACTTTTGCTCACAAGAAGTGTGTGTTGATGATTCCAAGGTATAAAAACATTTGTCTTGGTTTCTTTAATTGAAGTAACTTTTGTGGACCATGCGAGTACAGCTGTATGTCAGTAGCAAATGGTGCTTTCAGAGTCTTTTGAGTGCATAGCATCAAAAATAATTGTTTTATACAAAAGTTACACATGACTACACCAAACCTTGACAACTAAGCTGCCATTAGAAGTCATCAACTCCTCTGCTAACAAAAGAGGCAATCGCCTTTTATTAAATGACAACAACGTTACTGATTTTCAGAATTACTCAGTTTCTAACAGGTAGATTTTAAACAAACTAAATAGAGGCTTTAGGTGATCTTTCAATATCTTTTAGTTATTAGGTCATAATAATATTAATTTGTATAACATGAATTTTTTTTAAGGTTTCCTTGTCAAAAATATTCCTTTGGTACAAAGCAGATTTTGGTTCAACAGAAAAGGAATGTTTGAGGTGTGTCAACTTGCAATAATCCTTCAATGTAATTTGTAATTTTGTAATTTGTTTACCCATGAGGCTCTAAGGAATTCATAAGAACTCGTTGAAACATGTCCGTGCGTTCCAGATCAAATTGGAATTTGAAAGTGTTGGTTTTTAAGGAGAGGGAAAACCGGAGTACCCGGAGAAAAACCTCTCGGAGCAAGGGAGAGAACCAACAACAAACTCAACCCACATGTCGCGTCGACGCCAGGATTCGAACTCAGGCCACATTGGTGGGAGGCGAGTACACTCACCACTACACCACCCTTGCTCCCTGAACCTGTTACATTCTCTTCTGTTCAGTATGCCATGTTAGTTTTGATTGATACATGATGTTTTTGTTTTGATAGTTACAATAGAAATTTGTTTTATTATAAAAATTTATTGTTTTTTTCTTTTTCTTATTCAACACTATCATTTAGGTGGATTTCTCAGCATCTTCCAGAAGAGGAACAAAAGAAATTGAACAGTTTATTGGAACATCCTACCAGTTTGATTAAAATTAGTTATAATGATTATAACTGGAATCTTAATGGGTCAAAGTTGTAAAATTACTAACATTAAGCAGAAAGAGGGAGAAAATTGTTGTAAAAGTTACTGACAAGCATGACTGCAAGGTTATCAGGAAGTTTCAAGTTGGTAGCTTTTTTGTTAAAATAAGTGGCAGATTTTGCCATTTTTAACTAAAGGATTAGAGAATTACTCTGGTGCGTGGAGAAACTGACCAAAACCATGGAGAATAACCCTGGTTGATGAATGTAGCATATCTTATTTTACCAATATTGTCAAAAAAAACTTTAAATTATACTGACAATCATCAGCATAATAACACCAAATCCTTTTCAATATTGTAAATAATAATTAGTCCACAAACTGTTTTGAATCATAGATTGTAATTTATTGCCAATAAAATGCCTGCAGTAACACTGTTTTAGCAATTCTATAATTTTTGAGTGAAAATGTTGACTAATAGGTACTGATTCAAAATCAGAATTGAATTAAAAAAGGTTATCACAACTGTCCTTATCAGTATCATTACGTTAGTATACCAAGATATATACCGGTACCTACTGGATAACCAGCTGGCCTGAGATGGAGGCAGTAATAATTGTCGTGTTACATGACTGATAACCCTGTGGGTTGGTGAATATTTTGTGTAGTAATTAAGAAGTTCAAACAACTAGAAACATTAACCGGAAATGAAGGGGCCAATCCTGGGAATAGAAGGTTTGGAGGGCATTCTCCGCAGTTGGCTCAGTTCACTCTCGCTTTTGTCCTCTGCTCCATTCTGACAACTGTCAATCGGTGAGATGTCCTTTCTGTTTCTTAAATGTGTCTCTACACTGCTTGTAGAGTAGTTCGATGGAGTAATACATGCTTGAAATTTGCTGTTTTTTGGAAAAACCACCTGAGGCTCTCTCTTCATCAAAATCTCAGCAATAACTTGGCTGCGAAGACCTGTGCCAGACAAACTTGGTACAGGACTTAGTGAAGGGCTTATCTCAGAACTCTTGTTTGGAGAAAAACCTAGCAACTCACCAAAGTCACTTGGTGTCTGGCTCTGGTAGCGAATGAGTGGTTTAGGAGTTGTAATTCGTAGAAATTCCTTTTCGCCGAAGGTTGGCTTTCTTGTCAATCTCTGGTTCAAGTGTACAAAAGAAACAATGGTATCAAATATTCGCTTGTTAAAGCTTACATGAATGTAAATGTGTCTTGTCTTTCAATTGATATGAAAGCCTCTATCCGTCCCCGCTTTTCAATGAAAGTGAAAAGACCACCTTCGACTTATCGTGTAAGCTAACTTGAGCTTAAATCAACTCGATATGTGAAACGTATTCAAAGATTCACGTTTCATTTTGGTCAAAAGAAGCCCAGCATATGGCATTTAATTGTTTTTTCCACAGTGATTTAAGAATTGAAGTTTGAGAAAACTGTATAAAAATAAAATAATGACTGGCGCGATTGAGCACTTGCTTTAATATACTTACAGAAATCTCAGAACTGCTTTTGCAATACTTCAATGTGGGCTTCGGAAAGGCTCCCAGAACTCTTCCCTAGAAAGGCATTTTAAAAAGTCCACGGTTAATGAAATATTTTATTTAAGCAGAGAAATCCCGTCTGTTTAAATTTACCTTGGTTTTATTGGCTCGCCCGACAGTTTTGGGCACAATTCTTGGTAAATCTTTGATCCTGCTGTTCACTCTCAGTTCAACTTTTTTCAAGTCGCTTTCCCTACTTTCAGTTTTATTGGCGTCCTTGGTATTAGCTTCACTATTCACGCTACGAACGATGTCATCTGGTTGAGTTGTCGGTGCAGTATTTTGAAACTTAAGAAGTGTTGTCACTGAATTGGTTTCCTTTCGATCGGCCTTTTGCACTGCGGTTGTTGATACCGATTTTGCGTGCGTTTTTCGTTGCTCACTTGAAGTCGCAGTGTTATAGCTCTTCACGCCCATCCTTTTATGCTCTTTTTGTTCTGACATTCTTGGGCAAGGCCCGACTTTCAAATACCCAGAATCACAAGGGTTTTTCGTTTTAGACATACGAAATCTGTAAAACGTGAACGAAGGAGCTGGAAGCAGGGCTTTACGTTTCGTTTCATTGGTTCTCTTGGGTGATTTCTTAACATTGCTGCGGCAATTTTCCTTTAACCGCCACTGAATGTGTTTTCTGATGAAATCGTTAGTAATTTGTTCCCGATAGCTCTTGATATAGTGTGTAGTAGATTTTGAGTGGTTAAACGTGTATCCCGGCTGAGGTGACAGTGAAGCAGACCGAGTTCTAGCCAGGTTATAAATCTTTCCGCCATCTCGCGCGTTGCGATTTGCCTGATCATCGATATATGACACACTTTTAGCTCTCGCATCTTTCACCATGTCTCTCTCAATATGACTTTTTTCATCCATGTTTTCCTTTGTGATGCTTAAATTACGATGACAGCGTGGTAGAGTGAAAACATGCTCGTTTTTACCGCAAGTAGAGATCCTTTTCGTTGCAACCTCCGGCTCAATTTGATAGCCGCCTTTATGTTGCTTTGCGAAATGACTTATTTGCCATGCTGATAGCGGTGTCTTAAAAGCCACACTGTGAATGTTTTCCTTTTCAGTAACAAGCATTCTGTGCATGAGACTTCCCAAGTCTTCATTGCTCTCTTGTAAAACTACATTGGGTTTCTCTGTAAAGCTCCCCTCGTTTTTTCTACCAGAATCTTTACACGCGCACTGCTCACTAAGTACCCGTAGCTCTTCACTTGCATTTAGCTCTATTCGCTTCTTGAATGCACAGGGAATGGTATCAAAGTTCATGTCTGCATAAATTGACGGGAACTCCTTATAAAACTTAAGTGCTTTCCAGAGACTACAAAACAAGTCTGCCATGAGTGGCGTGTCTGGCCATGGCAGGTAGCGTTCCTATGGTTACAGCACAGGTCTACCATCAGTTCGACCTAATTTTCGTTTTGGCCTCGTTTCTCTTATTTCGTTCTTTCCTTTCTTAGAGAGTGATTTTTAAATTGTTTTGACTGTCTCACTAGCTATTTACACCTTCTTATGACTTATCAATAGGTCTAGGAGCTTAGATTCTGTGTAACATGTTTTTGTTTGTTGTAAGTTTTTCTATCACAGAGTGAAGGGACTAATAGTACCCACTTACCTGAGTGAAATCAACTTGGGTGGGGCCACCACTACTTTATCATTTTTGGTTTGTGTGAGAAATGATTCAGGGATTTCCGATGTGGATCCGATTTCTCAAAGACTCTATGTCATGACAAGTTCCACACTTGTTTTTGGTCAAAGCTGCGCTGAGGTTATGACTAAGTATTCTTTGTCATCTTTACTCATACTTGCTCGGAGCTCTAACAAAAAGATCTCTTATGATTCTATCAAAGGGAACGCGAGCAAAACATTTTGACCTTTTCGACAACACCTGAAAAGTTCACCCAATTTTTGTAAAGTTGTGATTCGTTTCCATTCGGGACATCGAAAGCTAAGGACATTGACATTTGCTTTAGTTCACATGTATTAGTAGCTAAATTTTAGATAAAATCGAACCATTATTTCAGGGTTTCCTTTGATTCCGATGAATTTTTGGTGTTTTAAAGTAATACCACAAATTAAAAACTTGGGGAATTCATTTTTGTTGTAAAAGCGCACATTGTATAAAGCGAGTAATACGTCTTACACCTAAAATAGACTGAATTGCGACTGGCATGGGCTCCATCAAACATAAACTGAAGCAAATTGCAGTTATTTGTATTCAGCAAGCTAAAGCGCGGAAACAGATCGAATAGTGGGTGCGGAACGAAGTATTTCTCTGCAATCTTAACTTCTTACTCTCCGTCATTAAAAGGACAGAAGCTGCCTCCTCTAGCTCCTCCGGCGCTTCACGCACAAGAGTCTAAGAGTGCGAAACGCGAGTGACTGGTAACGAAGCGATAGGGACCGTGGAAAGGAGAAAATGACTATAAGCCTTCCTTTGCGAGGAATTTTTCATCGAGATACAGACGAGTGAGTACCAGACAGGGGCAGCAGCTAACTCAAGGCGTGGCGTTTGGGTTAAAGTCAAGTGTACTCCAAAAAGAGAAGTTTTATTCAACAAAAAGCATGAGACGATGATAAAAGGTGGTCTGCAAGTAGACAACAAGGAAGTATATCAAGGCCTAAAAAAGATTGAATAAATAGGTAAATAAATAAATAAATAAATAAATACGTAAGTAAACAAGAATATTTCTTATGTTAAAGTTATCCTCTCATAATTGGTTGGGCCAATTCGGCTAGTCTATCCGAACACCTTGCTTTTTGTGCCGCCTTGCTCACTTCAAAGGCGTCTGCATTTGGTAAATTTGCTGCTATTTCGCGTTTTATTGGCAGGGACAGATCATCGATTCGCTTAGATGGCTTGGCTTTTAAAGCGGCTTTCGACACTTGCCACACTTCAACTTTGTCTGGTGTAAAGCCCAGTGGGACTCCTTTAGCATGAGACAATTCCTGTACTCTTTGAGAGGCCCGTGAGGTGAGCGCCCCTTTCTTTATAATCCACTCACGTTCCACAATAGTAGCTCTTTTCTTGGAAACGGAGAGGTTTTCAATTCGCTCTGAGGCAGAAGCCTTTTGTGCAGCTAAGGAAACCGTAGTCTGAACCGGTCGGCAGGGCTTATAGTCTGTGTGAAATTTCTTGTGTTGTGAAAGATAAACCAGGCGTTCACTAGGTGACGCTTTCATCGCTGCGTTGCTCACATTCCAGACTGGGGATGAGCGTCCAATGGTGAAGTCTCGAAAAACGTTGTATTGTTTTCTGTAGTTTGACAATAAAAGGAATAAAATGTTACAGGTTTTCCAAGGGATGATGAGAGTCTGATGGTAAGAAATTTTAAGATTGGGCTTAAATGTTCCGATCTCTGTCATTGGTAAGAGAGTTCAGCAAACTAATAGTTTCACCAGCCCACATCTAAAGAATCCGGAATCCCGCTAAGGATTGGGATCCATGTTGCATTGACAAAGAATCCTGAATCCACATCCAAACTTTGCCTCCCCTGCTTATATCAGTACTACTTGGATCGTAAATTAACTGAGGACGAAGTTACTACCCTTGCGCTACAAAGACTAAATGTTATTAAGAGCTAGTGGTCACATTGAAACTGATGTCATTTGCTTTTTTTTCTAAGCCATCATATCATAGGATTTCGGCTCAAAATGTAAGTTTTTCAAGCTAGCCATAATGATTACGTCTCCATCATGATCGGGCAATAATGCAACTTTATATTTTTCTTCGTCAGATCAGACTTTTTTACAATTCTCACCTCTAGAAGCGTGGAACTACGGGAAAGAATTATGGGTGAATGAAGGGTGGCATAATCCTTTTTTTGCCAGACGGATCTATGCTTCTAGGTGTAGAAAAAACGTGATAACTCAAGATAAATTTCTTGTTATTTCACCATACATTATAAAACTCTCCGACAATATTCAATAGGAAATTTACAAGGGTGCAAATGAGAACTTGGCAAACATTGAGACAGGCAATGACTCTCTACAGGCCCCTTTACAAGTGCCGATTTTTTTAAGCAGATAGATGTGAGGTCTATCGCTAGTCTAGGCTATATTATAAATATTGCCCACAGTACACTGTGTTCAGATAGTTCGGCTGTTTTGTTACGCGGTTTGTTGAATTGAAGCTAAACTCCGTCAAAATAACTGGCACTTGGAAGTCTGAGAATACGAACTGAGGCTGATAACCAACAGAACAAGTGATTCAGTCAATTAAATATCTATTTTTCAAATTTTCGACGCCCCCAACCCCCCTTGAATGTCAATAAAAGAACAAACAATGGAGACGTGTGTTCCCAACCAACTAATCTACAAGCAAACAGTGGCTACTGTAGACAAGCTTGATGACTGAATGAGAGGGTTATAATTTCATAAACTGCTACATACTTTTTATTAGTCTTTGCATAAACTCGTTTATCGTATGAGCTGTCTTACTGCCCTGTAGACATTATAGTTGCTGTCCTGAAAAGCTATGAAGTTCAACAACCAGAAGCTAATCTAAGCCATACTCCATTACCTTTTTTTTACTATTGACTTTGTATGAAAAACTTGGTAAAAGAAGTCCTAAGAAAATGAAAACTTCATTTCATAAATTTGCCACGAGTCGTTTGTAAACAGAAGTTATTGGAGACGTGTTTGGAATTTAAAGAGGGACACAAGCCGCTGTTAAAGCAACGCGAACTAATTAAGTAGTGCAGACTAGAAACAAACTCATAAGCCATGACAAACTGAAAGGTAATACGGTGTAGTCCCTGAGGAATAAATGATAACAAAACATCACGCTTTGCAAAGCGTTTTCTATGCAAATCTTTGTTCTGAATAGCGTCCTATGATACCTTACTGAGTAAAAGTTCTGAAAAATTTTCTGTGTTAGACGGAATAGCTGTTTATGCAACCATTATTTGAGCGTGGTTTCAACAAAATTGGTACAATGTCTTTCTAAAACAAAACAGACCTTTTCACTTTCTGACTAAAAGCTTTAGACTCGCACGGAAATTCGCTGCAATACATTTGAGTTCTGTCAGCGGAGGGTAAAACTGACAGCCAGTTCGCGGAACAAGCATATGCTACAAATCGAGGATGAATTGGAGAACTGAGTATTTTTTTAGACCAATTGACGCGACGCCTTTTTGCAGTACATGTCCTTTATTCCCTTTTTGGGCAAACTTCAATTAAAAGCCTGAAATGACCAAAGAACTCAGTCACAAATTTGCTAGAAAATTAATACTGAACCAATGTTTGGATTTCAAGTAACTTTGATCTTTTTCTTCGCTATAGTTTTTTTTTTCTTGCCAAAATTTATATTTTAAAGATAGTAGTTATATGTCCCATTAAATATAAATGAATATTTGATTTATCATCTACCGTGAGTTATAGCTCATCATAAATTTCTTAATTACACCCTAAAATTCATCATTCCCCTCCTCCGTGCGGTTTGACCCCATAGACCCGAGGAACGTGCAATTTAATACGAGTTGTTTCCGAACAAGAGCCATATTGTGGCTCTAGTTGCGAAACATGACCCAACACTTCTCAAAATATTTTAGATTTTAAAGATTGCGTTATGATCAAGATGACCATCTCCTAATATCCACATTATAATTATTATTTAATTTTATAGTTATCTTCTATAGATCTTAGACAACAACTAACCTCGAGAATACTCTAAATAGCACCAAATTTTTTACGGACAACTCCAGGCGATTTTTAGTATGTACTTTTAACTTAAATAAGAAATCATAGATGTTTTACAAATATTCAGTTGAAAAGTCAAGCAACGCCGTATCTTAGCTTATCTTCCGCACTATGTTTAAGAAATCACTCAGTGCTATAAAAAGCACGGCCAAACGTAAAGGGAAGCACGATTCGTTAAATGGGCTTGACTAACGCGGCATCGTGAGCAAAACTAATCGTCTACGATCTCTAGCTTAGAATTTTCCCAAGCTTTGCATTCCGGCATTCAGACCAGCTGGCGAAGGTTAAACGTCTGGTGTTTACTCCATAGTAAATGATATCTCATAACTTACTTGTAAGCTGGTGTTTTTACTTCATCAAAAACGCTTTTCCGCGAAACCCCAAGATCAGGAATTATGGGGACAGTTTTGTCAGTAGTCTTGATGTCATAAAAATAGCCGTAACGTGGATGAGACGTTACAATAATTTTTTCATCCATTTCTTGCGAAGGATGTCTGCGCTTGAAAGAAGCAAAAGTTCGCGCGTGGAACATCTGTCACACAAATAGAAGTCACAAACGTTGCCATAGTGACCGATTTTTAAAGGCGAAATGGGTTCTGGGAGTAAGAACTACTGTATGTGTGGTCAGTCTCCTGGGGTGATCCTAAAAATGCTTAGATTAATTACAATCATTTTCTTTGAAACGTGGCTGGAAAATCAAAGTTGTGAGCATTAGCCTGCGTGGCAGGCGGAAAAAAAGGAAGGACTGAGGGAGGTAAAGCGCGAATTCCCCTCCTCCCTTTCCATCCTTTCTCCTCCTAAGGCTTTCGAAGCCCGGCCAAGCAGGCTACGTAGACCTATGCCCAGAAACCTGGGAGAAAAGTTTATGTGTCAACCGTCTGAAATATTACGCACTCGTACGTCTCGCCACTAGCCTGCGAAAACATCCGTTTCTCCTCGCTCTTCGCCGCCGCGCGAAACGTCCCCAGCAGCGAAGACCGAGGAGAAACGGATGTTTTCGCAGGCTAGTGGCGAGACGTACGAGTGCGTAATATTTCGGATGTTTTCATGCGAGGTTTCCGGTTTCGGTTAAAGCGAAAAACCCTCTCTATCAGGATCCCAGCCCTGGAGAGCAGCTTCCAGGCAGTTGGAGGGACTGGGTAGCCAAGAATTGCGCGGCTGATGTTGACCGCTAACTTTAAAATAGACTGGTACTAGCACGCTTACTCAGCGAAACAAGATGGCGGCCTTGGAAGACAAAGCGATTTGGGAAGATGGCGAGGTAATTTTAACTGCATACGTTTCCGCTGAAGTGCGGTATAAGTGTCTTCATAAGCAATGAAGAGACTTACTATGTTTCTAATGACTTACTTTTGCCTTTATTCGAAGGAAATGGACGAGGAAGTTCTACGAATGCAGACAGACGAAATTGTCAGTCGAGCTCGACTGTTAGACAATGAAATTAAGGTAAGATTTCGTGCGAGTTTGTTATGTTTTCTTAGTTGCCATCACCGGTGACTAATGTTTTTTCATTTGAATGTTCAAAAATCCAAAGCGTGATGTCGTAAAAGGCCCTCTCTCTTAGTCTAAAGTTTAAATGACCTCTGATTGAAAATTTTTAATTGTCATGAAGCTTATTTCTTTTTTTCCGATCATCAAACATACCGTAAACTTCTGATTTTAACCCCCCGCCCCCGAGTTATGGCCAATTGACCTGTTAACAAGAAAATACCTCCAATTATAACCCCTTCTAGATATAAGCCTCCCATCAACTTTGGTATTGAAATGAATTCGATTTATTATGACGTTTTTAATGCTTATATTAGGGAGCTTAAGTAAAGACGTTTTTGAGCGATGCACATCAACCGGAAGTGAGGCCCTCTCCCTTTTTATATGCCTTGACGCTAACAAATTTGTATTGCTAAGTTTCTTTTCTCTTATAAAGAGAATTTTCCCAAGCGTTTTAACCAAACCACTCGCCAATGATGCAAAAAGTGCACTTCCAGTTGACGTCCGTTGCTCACAAACACTTTTGCTTAAGCTCCCTATTAACAAAAAAACCTTTAAATGCAAAAGGTATTTTGATAAATGCTGCCGGCTTGTTTGAAAATGCTTTTTTGATTCTGGTTAAAAGCCTCGCAAATATAACCCTCCACCTTCCTTCATTTAGAAGCCTTCCCAAAACTCCTTATGAAGATGCATAAGCCCAGGGCTTAGTGTCAGTTTACAGTATGCATTCATGGTTCTGAAAAGAAAATGCCTGATATTGTCAGGGTTCTCATTAAGTGCCGGCAGCCGGCTAAAAAATCGGCTACTTGGAGGCTTGAGCTATCTACTTTTTGGGGAAATAGGGTAAAATTAGAGAGTGAAAGCCTGAAATATTGCCTTCAGCACTCAGTTACCAAGCCGCCAACTTTTATATCCTAGCAGTCTACTTTAAAAATTAATGAGAACCCTGTATTCTCATCCTTTAATACTGTGTTCGCTGAACAGTGTTCTCACCAGGATTTTACCTTGGGGAGTCCCAGGGCCCCCTCTTCTGGGAAATAGGGGCCCTGTAAGAACATTAGGGGGACAAAGTTACAAAAAACATGCAGTATGAAGAACCTGAGCCCGCACTCCAAATTGTCTGTTACATGAAGTACCTACCTGATCCAATATGGCGGAAGAGGTGTTTACGATTCGGAGGAGGAGTTTACGATGTAGTGGGACGTGCATGGGACCAATGAAAGTAAAGGCAACAAAATTTAAGACTTTGACTCATTTGATATCATGTTTTTTATTTATTCAAACAAACAGAATGCTTTAGTGTTAGGTTGACCATTAAAACTGCTTAAGTCCGTTTGACTCGTAGCCTGCCCCTGTGCCCTAACGGGTGCATCTTCTTGGTTTTAATGCGCCATTTCAGTTTTTCTTGCGGGAATCCCGCAAGGCCGCGGCCTGGTGAGAACACTGGCTGAAAAACCATGTTTCAGGCAACTTGTGAATATTTGCTTCTTAATACAATGCTTTGGTTTGTATGTTGTTTGCCCCACTGAGTAATCCTTGTTTACTGCTCATAAACAGATAATGAAAAGTGAAATAATGAGGATTAATCATGAGCAACAAGCTATGAAAGAGAAAATCAAGGTAACTTTACTTTTAAATTCCATTTTCTCTTCCTGTTATTCTTCATTAAGAGTCAAAATTCTTCTAACAATTTGCAGTAACTTGCTCAAACTTTTCTGTTTATTCAGGAAAATGCAGAGAAAATAAAAGTGAACAAAACGCTGCCATACCTTGTGTCAAATGTGATCGAGGTAAGGTGGCCAACAGTCAATGCCTAAATTACAGCATTAACACTTCTTTTACTCACTCAAGATTTTTGATAACAATTTTGGCACTAAAAGGGTTCATAATGCTTCACTTGCCAAGTCTGGTAGCTTTGAATTTGATGAAAAAGCTAAGTGCCAATGTACTGTAAATATGTGTTAAGCTTGAATTACACAGCCCTATTTGTGTTCCCTTCTGGAGGTGGTACAAGTATTTCCACATGGTCATGTGAGCCAACAAAGGGCAAACCATTTCAAGATAAAGGCAGTTCCTTCTTCCGAAGTACTTTATTGCCCCAATTCTTGGTTCAGTCTAAGGGATCAAAGCTGTACATGTAACTCTACAAACCAGCTCTCTACCTACTGAACTTACTCTGAAAGCCTTGTTTAGCAATAATTTTAATTTATTAACACAATCTGTCACTCACTCACTTGCCTGAGCAAGTGCAAAACTAGGCAGTTGTGGGATGTGTTGTTTGTACAGTTTCTCATCTTGGCAAGTAGTTTCTACCCAAATAAAGAAAACTAAATTCAAACTTAGTTTAGCTTTTGAATCACAGGGTTGATTATCGCATTCAAATCCATGCGTGACGTTATTTACGTGTATTTACTAAGTCAACCACAGTGCCTCTAGAGACTTTATTACTTGTCTGTCACGACTGGTCCATGCCAGTGTAATCCTAAGTCTATAGTTCTCATGTCTAGATAAGGGACTGGACACTTCTAACTCAGTGATAGAGGTCTGGTACTAGTTTATCACATTGTGTTGGTTTCATTTTGTCCTCTCATCATTCTGTGTTGCAGTCAATTTTCAGTTTGAGTTGCTTATTAAACTTTGTCATGAAATGGATGGACTCCTATCCACCAGTGACAATAACAGCATATGAAAATTATATTGTGTCTTTATGTCTTAACCATTTTATTTTCGCTAATACTGAAACTGCTAAATAATAATTATTGAACCCCCACTCCGGACTGAAAAGTGAAACTTTGCGATCACTTTGGTCTATATTGTTCATTTTTGTGTACCTTACACATGTACCTGTCCTGTCTCATGTAAAAAGGGAAAAACTAGTGTATTTCAGGCTGAAAAGTGTTTGTTTTTTTGTTTTGCAGCTGCTTGATGTTGACCCTCAAGACAATGTATGTTTATATTTGTTTGATTTTCCTTGTACTCAATTTAGGAGATTTACAGATCATAATATAACCCAAGGAAAAATATTGAGAAATAGTTCATAATAAAAATGTTGTACAATCTATTGATGGAATGTAAAAAGAAATTGCTGGATGGTGTTGTTTGTCTTCCTAGAGTAGTTTTGGGCATGGAAGAATGGAAGTAGCAGGGTTTTTTTTAATTAAATGTGACCTACTCTAATTCCAGCCTGATTTGAAATGTGGTGTAGTGTCCAGAGTGGATATAAATAATTTTCGTGTAACTTTTTTTAGTCTACTCTGTAGTTTACTGCTATTTCCTGTAATCAAAGTCTTTCTTTTGACCTTCTGTGCTCATGCAAGCATTGCAATGTTATTTTAGTGCCCCACTCTTTACATAATTAGTTAAAGAACCTTTGACCTGCTTTCAGGCTGAGGAAGATGGTGCTAATGTAGACTTGGATTCACAACGAAAGGGAAAATGTGCAGTTATAAAGACATCCACAAGACAGGTACAGAATGCTTGTTATCATCAATAATATTTTATTTAAAATGTTTCAGGTTTATCCTGTCTTGTCTTTAACTGGTAGTTAGTAGCCTAAGTACCAGACATTATCCAGTGGAAAAGCTTAAAATAATATATCCTTTTGTTTACCTTTATACTCTTCTTTAACATTTGTCTTGAACACATAGTGAGGTTCACTTTAAATACTATGCTGATGAGTGAGGTGCTGTTCAATATAACTGTTCTAAGGAATAATACATCATCACCTAACCTTTTGCGTGATGTGGCATTTACGTGGCCGTCGGGAGAGCTGTCATTTAGGTTAAGAAAGTGACTTATTTTGGGGGATTTTTCTATCCAAACAGTCTTTGTATAAGAAAAAGAATTACTTTAATGTTTATGAGTTCCTCAAGAGATAAATTCACACTTTCATAACAAAACTCTGTAACAGATGTTTGTGTTGGTTTCCAGCCACCATGTTCGTCTCCCTCAGCATGGCGTCTGCATACAAAGCTCTATAAATTTAGCTATAACATTTTCTGAATCTCACTTAATGAAACATTGCACTGACCTGAATGTTGTCAAGGTCCAAGGCTCAATATTTACCTTCTTTCATTTTCTAGATTCTGGACTTAAATTACTGAAGTGTTTTGATTTTGATTTTTGATGGCGTTACAGTGACAACCAGCAATACACTTTATGTACCATGTTGTTGTTCTTTTTCTCCTTCTAGACATATTTTTTACCTGTAATTGGTTTGGTGGAACCTGAAAATTTAACTCCAGGAGACTTGGTGGTAGGAATATTTTACTTGTTAAAGGCATTAGTAATGATTGTTATTATAAATTTTAAATGTCTTCACAGTGGTTGAATATAGCACATTATGTGTATATCTGTAGTCAAACTGTATATTTTGATTAATACTTAGAGTATTTTAGCAGTTTTTTTAGACTTGGAGAATAAAATAAAATAACCTTTTCTCCAACAAGTAGATTTGTTTGAGCATTTTGATATTGTACAAAAATTTTATCTATTGTATTGATAATTTATAATGTTTATCGATTTTTTGGGGGAGGATTTATTTGATACCCTTAATAGATACACCCAATGTAAAGTGCTTTTTCTGTTTGTTTTCAGGGAGTTAACAAAGATTCTTACTTAATATTGGAAAAGTTGCCCCCAGAGTAAGTATTGAGTCACAAGTACCTGAACTATAGTCTGCACATACATGTTGGTAAATTTGTGTAAAATTCCATGGCGACATGTATACATGTACATGTATATGCCATCATTATCACCAATAGCACCCATATCGTACCAAGTGTTCTAAGCTTGTACTTATTTGTGTTTTTTATTCAGCTTCGTACTACTGTCACTGTTAAAAGAGCTTTAGCATCTAATAATTTCTGATTTTGAAAATTAACAGGTATGACTCACGTGTTAAAGCCATGGAAGTTGATGAGAGACCCACTGAACAGTACAGTGACATAGGAGGACTGGACACCCAAATACAAGAGGTAATAGCATTGATGATGACATGTTCTAAAATTTGGTCAACAAAAGTCAACCATAGATAATAACATTACACATTGATGACCAGTTAGTCAGTAAATTTATTTTGTTAACGAAAGTGATACAACAGTTGTTTATGCGAATTGAAGGCCCTATTGAAAGGGTTGTTGATGTAGATTTTGCTTTCAGATCGGATCATACTGCTTCATGTAGGGTTTTATGTGACACCAGGGGCATTACTATCATGTAAGATTAAAAATAGCATGTTATCTTCCTATTTTGTGAAAAGATTACCATTGCTATGGCCATGTAATAAATCACAACTTTAGCAGAAAAAAATATTAAAGTGAAATGGTTTGGTATTTCATTTAATAGTGTTTATATAAGAAATATTTCGCTGGAAGAGAAATTTTGTCTCTTCGCGCAGCAATGTAATATCCTCTATTTATTTGTTTTAATATCTGAACAGCTTGTAGAGGCCATTGTTTTGCCCATGACACACAAAGAAAGATTTGAGAACCTTGGAATTGCACCACCTAAAGGTAATACAAATGTATGTTGTTAAACATGATCAAAACCTGCCATTTATTTGTCACCACTCTCAGAACCAGTTTTGAAGCTGGCACATGTATAGAAAACTTGGTTTGCGACAGGAGGGGTACAGATTTTATTCATAGTATGACCCTACATGTTCACAATAAAACATCTATAAAGTAATATTATTATTGCTATTTCAAGGTTTTTTTTGTATTCCTTTTGACTTATTGTTGCCTCTCCACTATCTTTACATAACTAAATAAGCTCTTTCTGTCTGGAAGTGGTGCCAATATTGCTTTGCAAAATAACCCAACTCTTTTGGCAGCCAACACTGCTTACCCAAGGGCTGTGTATTATTAAAAACCATTCCACTTGATTACATCAATAGTGTCCATTATTTTGTTAATGTTATTGACTCTGGCCATTATTCTAAATACCTAACATTAACTTTTATTCAGGTGTATTATTGTATGGACCTCCTGGCACAGGCAAAACGTTAATGGCAAGAGCGTGTGCAGCACAGACAAAGGTATAAACTGCTAAAGCATCTGGATTGGGCTACTTGTACATTGTCTTTTAACCATTTGAAACATGCACAAAGTATCGAAAGTATATCATTTCAATGTATAATGAGTTATGATAATTTTCTCAATTTCTTGTTGTTGTTAATTTCTTTGTAGTCGACCTTTCTCAAACTTGCTGGTCCTCAACTTGTTCAGGTAAGGTCTTAACTTACAAAATTTATAAGTTGTTCTTAACCTTTGTGATAAAAAAATATTATTATTTCAATTAATTTTGTGTGGTAGGTTAAGTAATAAAAACTAAATGAAAATTAATAAATAAAAAGATTAGTGAAGAAACAATTGAAAAGACTGGTAAAAGATTTTTAGTTGATTTTTAGATTTTTGTTATTATTCCAATTAATTTTGTGTGGTAGGTTAAGTAATAAAAGCTAAATGAAAATTAATAAATAAAAAGATTAGTGAAGAAACAAATGCAAAGGACTGGTAAAAGATTTTTAGTTGACTATCTTAATTGTTTTTGCAGATGTTTATAGGTGATGGTGCAAAGCTTGTAAGGGATGCATTTGCTCTTGCTAAAGAGAAAGCTCCAGCCATTATCTTCATTGATGAACTGGATGCTATTGGAACAAAGGTAAGCTTTAGAACATCTCTTTATTTTTGTTTAGAGTTTTTGCAGTTTATCCTCCATGTTAAGAATCTCCAAAGCCAATTCCGATTGTTTGAAATCAGGAATGTGAACGTGCTGATCACGCTTTGATTGTCTTTATAGAGATTTGACAGTGAAAAGGCTGGAGACAGAGAGGTAATAGAAACTTAATAATGGTAATAGGACTGAGTGGAGTCCAATTCAGTCTGTAATCATACCTAGTGATAAACAAAATCTGATAACCACATAGCAGGAGTCTGATTTGTTTAATCATGAGTATGATTACCGACCAAATTGGACGACACAATTGTTACCAATTAATCATGACTACAACAAAATTTGTGAGATTTGATCCTTTTTTAAAATTAAAACACAAGAAATTAGCCATTTAAGTACACGCACCCAGTTGCGCATACTGTCCAATTACTTAGGCATGACATGTACTGTCCTATTACACTGACTTATCAGTGTTGAAATCAGGACAGTTGATAGCCAATCAGATTTGAGAATTTTGTTATAGTTATGATTATATTTGTTATACTTCATTCAGTAGTCTTGAATACATGTTTGGATGACCTTTTTTCCTTTTATGCATAATATCAGATAGGAGTGAGAGCAATCACCATACCACCCATAGTCTCCCTCGCAGACGTTTTTAGTATTGTCACGCAACGCTCCTCCCCACAAGGAGGAGCATTGCGTGACGATACTAAAAACGGCTGCGAGGGAGACTATACCACCCATCGATGCCATAATTATGTGGGTTGTGTTTGTTGTTGGTTGTCTTCTCTGCTTGGAGAGTTTTTTCTCGTGGTACTCTAGTTTTTCTCACTCCTCAAAAACCAACATTTCCAATTTCCAATTCTATCTGGAAAGTGTCTCCAGTTTGTTGAGGATGCTGTAAGAGGGCCACAGGTTTATCAGTACTTGGAACTTTCAAGTGTCACCCACTCTAAAGAACTTTAGTTAAATGTTTGTTCTTTTCTTTGTTTGATCACAAAGATCACTAAAAAAAAAAGGTTCAGTGATTGCAGGTTATATGGAGACAACCATACTTCAATGGTCTCAGCAATGACAGCAATTTAAAATGTAGTATTGTAGTTGCAGTAACAGCTGAGATAGAGTTCAGTTCTATATAAAAATGGTCCATTTGGTCAATATTATCATAGTGTTGTCACACTAGACCAGGGTTTTCACTAAGAATTCTAGTAGCAGGAGAAAGGTGTAACTTTAAAGGTGAATATTGTGAAAGTGTCTCCATGTTTGAATAGAAAATATTCATAGGCTATCACCCGTAAGCAGGAGAATTCTGTGTATTAAACAGAGAAATCTCCAATCTCCGATGCTTAATGAACACCCTGCTGACAGTTTCCATTTAATGTCATTTTAACTGTAAATTTATTATTAATTTATATATGTGCAATGTAGTATATGTAATATTAAGGTTCTATAAAGAAGTATTGTTCTAGACTTCAGAAGTAATCCATCGCCTTAATGTGACAATACTGTTTCATATGATCAAAAATGACCACATTCACCAGGCAATTACAGGGAAACAGACTTATTTCTTTAATAATTATTGCTCCAGTAAAGTCTTGAGCTCTCTGGGAAATTGCTCTTTCAAGTGATAATAAGATTCTTTTTATATTGTGGTAATGTGCAAGAAGCATTAATGATAACTACCAATTTATTAATAAAACAGATCAGGTACATGTACACAGTGTGCGACTGTCAGTGATCATAGTATTTTTAGCAATAACCTGGAAACCAAGCTTTAATCTTGAGTGCAGTATTTGATCTTATATGACTGATATTTTAGGTACAAAGAACAATGTTGGAACTGCTGAATCAGTTGGATGGATTCAGTTCTCACCATGATATCAAGGTGAAATATTATTATTATTACTGGCTGTTATCACTGAAGTTTTCCTAATTTTAGTTTGTTAAGTTAAAGCTAATTGATTCTTTATTCAGTTATTTACAAACTTCACCAAAAAGCCTGGAACACTCACAGAGCATGCTTCTGTCTTTAATATCTCAGTTGAAACGTCATGCTAGAAGATGCTTTCTTGTTGTCAACCCTTGAATTCCTAAGAGTAACTAACATCAGTTTTCTCCCAACAATATCACTGCACCCAGTTAAGAGAAAAGGTGTTGAGAATTACATGCAAATGATCACCAAAACGAAAATGTTTTGACCTTTTGTCAAATTCTGTAAGGAACTCAGCGAGCCATGATTGTGAATAGTTATTATTATATGAAAAAAACAAACAAACAAAAACGAAAACAATCATTTCTGAACTGTAGATGAACGTAATGAATGGAGATGTGATCCTCACAGTATTTAAAATTCCTTCAAACTCATTCATTGTACCAGTTTAGAGTTCAGAAGGTTCAAATTTACATCCTTGCATGATTACAGTCGAATCTCTTTAACAAACAAGCTGTGGCTAACTACAGTGTAAGTTGCCTATAGACTTTTTCACATCTTGATTACTTGTTTTTTTTTCTTTTGAAGGTTATAGCAGCTACAAATCGTGTTGATATTCTCGATCCGGCCTTGCTACGATCAGGTTTGACAATTTACTCTCCATCTTTCACTTCAAGTGTGTGTGTGTGTGTGCGTTATGTTGATGGTCACATTCTCTTGTAGATTCCGGGTCAGTCGCAGGAGTGTCTTTTTTTTCTTGTTATGCAACTCTACGAGACCAGTGCAGTCAAGCAACAGGGCTAATCTTGTTTTGCTTGACCTTGTACACATGAATACCTGTGACAGAGACTAGTTTAAATTATTAACATGAACCACCCAGAAGTATTATTGTTTTCCTCTGGATGAGATGCGAGTGCATTGAAAGGTTTCTGGCAACAGTTCCAACAGTTTATTTTGTTGGAATTCATTTACAGTATAAACCTCATTAGTAAAATCCAACTAGTGGTCTATTATCAATGCTGCATTCTGATTGCTTGAGCTACTACTAGGCTATATGTTATAGCCCACTAGTAGCGAAAAGCACTGGCTTTTGTTGTGGCAAAAAAGGATTTAAGTCTAGCTTTAACTAGCTCAAATTTTTTTTATTCTCGATATTTTGACTAACTAGTTGGATTTTACTAAAACAATTATTCCTCTCGCCCTCATGGCCTCCGAGTCAATGGCCCATTCGGCCTTTAGCCTCATGGGCTACTGACTTAGAGCCCATTCAGGCTTGAGGAATAATTGTTAAGTTTCTTTACAATAGAGGGATAAAATAACCCAGTAACTTAGAGGAGCTCAAATTCGAACTTCCAAATCTGAAGTCCCATGCTTTAACTAATACATCAACGTGCTTTTCCATCATTTTACCCACCTAACGGCAAGGAAAATTTCCCTTGTTTGTGACTGTAGGACGACTGGATAGAAAGATAGAATTGCCTAACCCAGACCAAGAAGCCAGAGCAAGAATTATGCAAATCCACTCCAGAAAAATGAATGTCAGGTAAATCGAGACACATTTCATGCAACAGGCGTACACCTGAATCTTATCAGTATTTATTTATTTTTTGTCTGTGTTAAATTTAGTTTTAAAGTTGTCTCTAAACAAGTTATATTGGGTATGCACTGTTCTTCAACATCTTTTGACGTAACACAAACAGAGTGATATGTTTTTCCTTTCTGCAGCCCTGACGTAAATTTTGATGAGTTATCCCGTTGTACAGATGATTATAATGGCGCAATGCTGAAAGCAGTTTGCGTTGAAGCGGTAAGCCAGAAGAGCATTCTCAGTTTTAGGGTCAAATATGATTATGTTTACTTGGTGAAGTGGCTCTCTCCTCCTCTAACGTTATTAGTGAGCTTACGCAACGGGACGGGGGAGAAAAGAACACGGCAAACCTTGTGTGACAAGCGTGACAATAATTTTGTTTGAAACAACTTTTTCGCCGAACTTCACCCTTCTTTAAACAGGTCTTTTTGTCAAGATCAGAAAACATTAAATTGAGTGAAGGTCACCACAAAACACATAAGTAATAGGCCTGTCTCGTTTGTCACACACACAAGCGTTTTGCCGTTCTCTTCTTTCTGCCGTCCTGTTGCGTAAAATCACTATCATCATCATCATCGTCATCTTCAATCAGTGACTAACTGTAAAATTTATAAGTTAAACGAGACTTCCCTGTAAGTTGAAGTTTGACTGTAATTCTATGAGATACCAGTCATTCGCCATAATGAAGGACTACGAAAAGGCGAGACAAACTACGCCCGCAACTACTCCACGGGCTGCTCGCACTTATCTTAAATGACTCACTGGTGAGTAGGACTGGTGTCGAAATAGAATTAAATGCAATAGTGGCTGCCTCTGTTACGGTTTTCCGCGCTTGGCACTGATTGGTGCTTGGTCGTTATCTGCTCCTACAATTTGCCAGTTGTTTTGGTTTTAGAAAACAGTAAGGGCTTGCTTTACCTTTTTTTTGTTGTAATTGGTTGGTCAAAGACGTAAAGTCTTGGTTCACTTCTAACCAGTCAAAGCAGTAATGAACGCAAAACAACGTGGATTTCTCAGAGCTTAGGTCACCCGTGCGCGCTCGGGCTACTGCTGCTGCTTTTTTATGGAGTGTATGTAAAACCAGGAACAGGCCTGGACTATTCCAACGGCATGGTTCAAGGTTGTTTTGGGGTGTTCCGGGCCTGTCCCCGGTTTTATGAAACCCCTTCTCATGCTATGCTAAGTATCATGGTTTCGGTTT